TGTTGACCTGAGAGCATCATCAGCCAAGGGGATCCCTACACATACTGTGCTCATATCTCCAATACGTGTTTCCCTTTGTCATAATTTGATTCTGAATCTGAGATTCATGGGCCTTTGCTAACTTGTACAGCTGGAGAAAACGAAGGAGGAGAAATAAGAACTAAAAGCAGAATCAGAGGGAAAGCAGACGGGCAGCATTTAGGGTGAGAGGTGGCCAGTGTGGATGTGGTACCTGTTTCTACCAGCACTCCCTTTTTGGGCACTAGCTCCAAAGAAAGCAAGCCCAGACTCCTGGACAGAGCAGGGGCCAACCGCGAGCACTGAAGCTGTGTCAGGGCCACAGTGCCCCTAAAAGTGGAAGGGAGAGACCATGGTAGCTGGTGGGTACCAGGGCTCCTTAGAGGTAAAACAAAGTTATTGTCCCAACATGACCTTCAAAGAAAATTAAAAACAGCTCAAGAGCTGAGCTCTCCTCACTGTCCTTTTTTGTTTTGTTTTTCTTTTGAGGCAGAGTCTCACTCTCTCGCCCAGGCTTGAGTGCAGTGGCATGATCTCAGCTCACTGAAATCTCCACCTCCTGGGTTCAAGCAGTTCTCCTGCCTCAGCTTCCCGAGTACCTGGACTACAGGCGTGCACCATCACACCTGGCTAATTTTTATATTTTTTAGTAGAGACAGCATTTTGCCATTTTGGCTGGGCTGGCCTCAAACTCCTGACCTCAGGTGATCCACTTACCTTGGCCTCGAAATGCTGGGATTACAGGCATGAGCCACCACGTCCAGCCTCTCCTTGCTATCTTATCCTGAGTCAGAGAGACCCAGGGAAGAGAGAGTGAGTCGAGGTGTCAATTTGGTGTTAATCCACTCTAGTTGGAGAATTGAGGCAAAGATTGAGCAGTGTGAGCCTCCCGGAAACATGGTCACCCGGCCAGCCCATGTTTGTGTTTTTGCAAACTGTGGTTTTCCAGTTTGAATACTGTCAATTACTTACAGATCACCTCTCCAGATGTCTAGCTGTCCTTGCATATCATCTGTTTTCTTCAAGGAATCCACTGGTGATGTCTGTGACCTTTCTGGGTGCCTTTTCTGGTCTGATTGGGAGGAGAATGACAGATTCGTGGCAGTATTCATTTTCCACAGGGACCGTAAGGAGCCTTCAGATAGAGAGATGGGCCACAGTGTCTCAGCTCCTCCTGAGGGAGCTCACACATTCTGGGTTCTCAGCTTCCTAGCTCCATGGAAAAATCCACCTTGGCCACAGAGGTTTTTGTGTCTAGCTGCTTGTGGAGTGCTGCAGCAGGACAAGCACCGCACTGTTGCTGCCTTGTGCTACAGGGCTCTGAAAATAGAACCATTAACACCAGCTTCGGGTTTCCTCCAGAGAGCTTGCATCTGGGCCTTTGGTATCTCTCTCCAACACTCTGAATAGCCTGTGCATCCAAAGGGAAACATACTTTTGTCAGAGCGATTACAAGGCAGGCAGTTAGAAGTGTCTGCCTGGATTTCTGTGGTTTTGACTTTTTTGACAGTAGAGAGGAGAAGCAGAGAAACTTAGTCTCAAGCTGGGGCTGCAAGGCTTCCTTGGTGGGCTGGTGTGGCTTGTGCTGCTCTTCCTCCTCTTCCTCCTCTGGGAACAAGTGTAGGAGAGACTGGCCCTGCACATCAAAGACCAGGATGGATGCACCTCTCTCCAGCCACAACTGGAGAACATTTCATTTCCTCAGAAGCCTGAGAACAAAGAGAACCTTAATTCAGGGAAGTAGCAGTACAGACCATTTTTTAACTCAATAAAGAGAATATTTGAAATCTATGCTTCTGTTTTTAATTAGACGTCTGTACCTCTGTACACTACAGGCAGCTAATTTCTAAGGTTCTTCATCAGGAGTGGATGCTTAGGCAAGTTTTGGAGTTGTTTAATCTGTACACCAGGAAAATACATTTCATACGGTAAGACTAACTTTGTCAAAAGGAGTAGGAAATGCATTGATGTAGGGAAGGCAAAGAGAATTTAAGAAGTCCTGTGTAATGAAGAAACAACCAAGGAAAAAAGTAGAGGCTTTATAAATTCTCCTAGGCTATTTTTTTTCGTTTTTTAGAGATGGGGTCTTGCTATGTTACCCAGGCTGGAGTGCAGTGGCTCTTCACAGGCACAGTTGTACTCACTGCAGCCTGGAACTCCTGGGCTCAAGTGATCCTCCTACCTCAGCCTGCCATGTAGCTGGGAAGGGTGTGTGCCACTGCACCTGGCAAAAATCTCCAATGCTATTTATAAATAATTTAAGCATAATGAAGAATTCTCATGACTTCTGGCTAACATTGTGATAAGGAATTTTTGTTTTGTTTAGTTTTAACTTATTCCTCTTTGTAATGTTTGGAGTGAAGAGTAAGGTGCTTTACAGAATTCTCAGTTTCGGGAATGCTCTCTGCTTGCTTCCTATCACGAGCCCAGTGGTTCAACTCTCATTGCGCTCTTCATGGTCACTTGTTACCCTGGACATTGGTAGCTTGTGGCCGTGTGTCACAACAGATGTGACTTTCGCTGATGTTGTACTTTTTGGCACCATTACAAACTCAATGGAGCCTGTAGTCTTCTTCTGCATCACTTTCCCACCTCTGTGAGTTGCCAAGGGCTCCCCCTACCCCGTATTTGTCCTAAGATGCTCACCTGGTATCCCTCAAAACTGTCAACTTCACACATCACCTCTCTCCCTCTCCAGGCCATGGAATGTCCAGCCGGGCCTATGGGTCTTTTTCCCTCCTAGAATTTGCCATAAAGAGAGGAGCTGGTTCTCATCTAATTTCAAGAAGACACTGGAAAGTTTATCAAGTTGGCCATTGGTGTCATCTGTAGTTATTGAATAATGTTTTTAAGTAGGCTAGTTTTAATTCAAGTATCTATTAATCTTTTATCAAGTATCTATTGTTTAATTCAAGTATCCATTACAAGATAAGATTTTCAAATATTAGTTACATACCTCTATGTCCCACTTTTCTATACCTTATGACTTCAGTTGCATAGTTTTAAGTTACTTGGTGTTTTACAGAAATGTATTCCTTGTCTAAACAGAGTTCTGTTGTGCTTTGCTTTGCTTAACAATGTATTTTTCTCTCTTGAACATTCCCGAACATTCCTCTCTTAAAGATTATTTTTTTAGGAGATAAAAATGTTTTGAATATATTTAGAGGCAATTTAAAACCAAATAACTATAATGCTTCATGTTTAATGAAAAAGACTGTTTTTTATTTGTGCGTTTTATTTGTTTATTATATTTATTGAGACAGAGTCTCGCTCTATCACCCACACTGGAGTGCAGTGCACCAGTCTCAGCTCACTGCAACCCCCACCTCCCAAGTTCAAGTGATTCTCCTGCCTCAGCCTCCCGAGTAGCTGAGACTAACAGGCAGGTGCCACCATACCCAGCTAATTTTTTTTTTTTTTAGTAGAGACAGGGTTTCACCATGTAGACCAGACTGGTCTCAAACTCCTGACCTCAAATGATCCGCCTACCTTGGCCTCCCAAAGTGCTGCAATTACAGACATGAGCCACCACCCTCGCGCCTTTATTTATATTTACTTTGAATTTATTTTAAATCATCCTACAAATAGCAGTGAAAGTCATGATGCAATAGAAGCTCAGTTCTTTCATGTTTACCTCTAATCATTTTTCAAAACTGTTTTATATTTATATATTTTTTATGAAACTTTATTTTTAAATTTCAACTCCATTTTAGATGCAGAAAGTGGATGTGCAGGTTTGTTACATGGTAATATGGGAATTTCTATACTTTCTCTTCTGTCCCACTTGTCTCCTTGTGTCATTACCACACAGTTTTAATTGTAGTGACTTATTTTTTTAGTATCTGCTTTAATTTTATTCTGTGTGGTTATTAAAAACCAGGAATAGGTGTGGAATTTTGTTAAAGACCTTTTACACATTTGCAGAGATAATTGTGATTTTTCTTCAGGTCCATAAACATAGTGAATTATGTTAATGAAATTCCTTCATATTGAACATTTTTAGACCATGCTGTAGTTTCTTATTGAGACATTGAACTTTGTTAGTACTTTGTTTAAGATTTTTGTAGCATATGCATTAATGGATGTTGGTCTGTAGTTTTTGTGTGTGTGTGTATGTGTGTGTGTTTGTGTGTGTAAATCATCAGGTTTAGACATCAATATTATACTTGCAATATTAGAAGAACTTAGAATTTTCGTTTTTTTCCTACACACTGGATAACAAGCTGTATAGCATTGGAAGTGTCTAGTGTAGGGTTTAGTAGAATTTTCTCACAAAAAAACATGAGCCTAGTTGTTTTTTTTCCTCTTTACCGTCTTCATGGAAATTATTTATTTAAGCTTTATATCCCCGCAGGAGTCAATTTTGCTAACATCAATTTTTCTAGAAAATTTTCTATTATATCTAGTTTTCAAATTTATCATAGAGTTGTCCAAAGAGTTGCTTATACGTTTTTAAAATTTTTCTTTCAAATCAATCATATTGTTTCCCATCCTTACCATTTCTTATTGTTTTTTATGGTAGACTAACTAGAGCTTGTCTTTTATTGATTTTGCTCAAAGAAGAAGCATTTTAGTTTGTTTCTACTCTTTTTCTGGTTATGCCTCACAATTTTCTGGGTATGTAAAAATTAAAACATATAGAAAAATTTCCAAGAAGCTTCATCAATTGACTCTTGGTTAATTCATTTTCTGCTTACAGTGTCTTAGTGTTTTCATGTGTTTATTTATTAATACAACCACTTACAGATTCTACCACTCAGTGAGCCCTGTTTAATGACCTAATGACACAAAGATGATTTTAAGCAGTGTCTCTTACTTTAGAAATGTATTGTCTAGTGTGGACTATGAGGGAATTATTTTCATATTTACATTTTTTTATCCATGAGTAGCCATTCTTCTTTCAGTTACTCAGGGGTCTTTTGGATTTCCCTCTCTGTCTTTGGATGACAAAGCTAAACTATATTGTGCTTTCTCTCATGCAGGGCAGCCACTGATCACAATGTGGATAATACAACCGAAATACTCAGGGAGTGGTTGAAAAATGTACAGAGACTCTATCACTATGTGGAGTGGAGGCCTATGGATGAACCAGAGTGAGTAGCAAGAGCAAATTTTGTAAACTCGTTATTTATCCTTCCTCTGTAACCACTTCTCTAGGCCTTCCAGGCTTGGAGGCACATGTGACTTTCCACTGTCTTTAATTTCCGTACATATGTGAGTTCTGAATACCTGCCATTTCTCCCTTTTACGGATCTTCACAGTACCCTCTTCCTGTTTACTCCCACAGCTGCCAGCATGTTCAGGTTTTCATTACTTCATAAATAGCCATTACGGTGTATATTTTAAAATATTGATATTATTTATTCATATTTTAAACATAAACCTTTTGTATATGAAGGATCATAGTGAAAATATGTGTACTTTCTATATACACCTTACTTTTTTCAACTTATCATATCTTGATAATCATTCTATAGCAATAGTTAAGGAGCTTCATTTTCATTTTGTTTTGCTGCATAATAGCTGTTGTATATGCATTTACCATAATTATTTAATCAATCATGTTGATGCTCATTTAGGTTATTTCCAATCTTAACCATAGAAGTTCATTTCTTTCCTTTTCTTTCCCTCCCTCCCTCCCTCCTCCCTCTCTCTCTTTTTCTCTCTCTCTCCCTCTCTCTCTTTCTTTCTTTCTTTCTTTTTCTTTTTTTTCCTTTTGGAGACAGGGTCTCACTCTGTCATCCCAGCCGGAGTGCAGTGGCATGATCATAGCTCCATTGTAACCTCACACTCCTGGGCTCAGGCAGTACTCCCCCTTCAGCCTCCTGAGTAGCTAGGACCACAGGCATGCACCACTATATTTGGCTAATATTTTTGGGGGGTGGGGTGGGGGAGAGACATGATTTTGCTATGTTGTCCAGGCTGGGCTTGAACTCCTGGCCTCAAGTGATCCTCCCACCGTGGCCTTCCAAAGTGCTGGAATTACAGGTGTGAGCCATTGTGCCTGGTTACTATGGCATTTTTCTTTTCTTTTTGTTTCTTTTTTTTTTTTTTTTGAGACGGAGTCTGGTTCTGTTGCACAGGCAGGAGTGCAGTGGCGCGATCTCGGCTCACTGCAGCCTCCACCTTCAGGGTTCAAGCGATTATCCTGCCTCAACATTCTGAGTAGCAGGGACTGCAGGCGCCGGCCACCACCACATCTGGCTAATTTTTTGTATTTTCAGTAGAAATGGGGTTTCACCATGTTAGCCAGGATGGTCTTGATCTCCTGACCTTAGGTGATCTGCCCGCCTCGGCCTCCCAAAGTGCTGGGATTACAGGTGTGAGCCACTGCACCTGGCCCCCATAGCAATTTCTTAATTGCTTCTACCTCCAAGTCATCCTACATACCATACAGTCAAATCAGTCTACCTCAAATACAAGTGAAATGATGTCCTTTCTTTATTAAAAGGACTTCACTTACTCTTCAGGACCTACAGTACAAAGTTCAAACACTTAAGACTTTAATTTTTTAAATTCCATGAATTTAGCACCAAAAGAAAATGTGCTTTATTCAGAAATGTTCCTTTTATTTCCAAACCCCATGCTGTTGCTTATGCAGATCCTGGAAGATCCTTTCCTTCTTTATAACTAACTCTTATAAAAAGCTATTCTTAACCATTCAGTTATAAATATCTACCTTTGTCTCAAGAATTGTATTGCTTATTTTCTATGACATCCTTTTTGGCACAACGATACACTTAACCAACATCGTTAATTAACTATGCAATTAGTGTATTTTTTAAAAAATAAAATGTAAGTTCTTTGGCAGGGGCTAGAGTATATAAACACTTTATATTCCCCTTCTCCCCTCACAGCCATATTCTTGGCAGGCAATAAGTTCATGCTAGTTGGATGGGCAAATAAGAACAAGAATAAATGTATTTAAAACTTAATATTATAAATGTTCCCAAAGCTACTACAGTTTTACCTTCAGGAATTGTAGACATAGAATGAACGAGTTTCCTGAATTTCTTCCAAAGACAAGTCATTTATTGAAAGTCAAATTTGTATTATAGTAATAATAAATGCTATTCCAGGACAACTTTCTGTTCTTCTAGTCTCTCTATATGTAAGAATTCTTATTTATATTATAAACTGATATTTATATTATAAATAAATACAAATATATTATGATATATATGTATAAATATGTTTATTATAAATATATTATATTATAATCATATTATAAATATATAAATTCATATTTATATAAATATATATTGTTTTATATATTTATATATTATACATATATAATATATTATAAATATTTATAGTATATTATAAATTATAAATATAATATATACATTTATATCTATATAAATATATTTATAATATATATAAAATCTATACCTTTATATTTATATAAATATATGTTTGTATTTGTATTTATTTATAATATATAAATAATATAATTTATTATATAAAATATTTATTATATAAATAATATAATTTATAATAATATAAATTAAATACAAATATAGTATAATATATACATATATATTTCTCCAATCCAAGCCCATGGACTGTATGTCATTACACAATGAAGCCTGAACACTGTAAAAGATTGTAAACACTCCTTTAGAGTGCCTTATAATGGAATTTGGCCTAAGAAAAATGGCACAGAAATACTTTGTGTGCCTTCTTGCATCTTGGTAATGTTCTCTGCCGCCAGGTTTTGACTAAATATATTATATGCCAAGGGCAGTGTGAAAAAATATCAGCGCAGGCATTTTGGAAAGGCAATATATTTAGAAAAATGAGAATTCTACTGATTTTCATTGAAAAAATAATTGGGGAAGACATTCCAGAGAATTCCTTTGCTGTACATAGTTTTGTTAACCTTATTTGTAAGTTATACTCTCATTGTTTTTCCAGTTTTTCGTTCACTAAAACAAATGTATTGCCAGTGCAGCTATGAGATCTTGAAGTGATGGTGGGTTTTGGGTTACTGCAACAGCATCAGTGTCCATGCCAGTTGGGTGCCTTAGAAAGGGTTTTGGAGGGTGCCCCAGCCCACTTGCCTATGTGGCCATTGGCGGAGTCTTGCCCTGGCTGTTTTGTGAATGTTGACAGAGATCCCATGATCTCACTTTACCTAAGATGGATCAATGTGTTAGACTATATGGAATCATTTGTGGAGACTCCAACAAGTAAAGTAAACCTTTGTTTTTCCTGGGAAACTCATGTTTTACACTGTGTACTCTTTAAATTTATTCAATGGCAGGATGTATAAAAATTGTCTGGGAACATGAGCTTTTTGCTTGGATTCAAATCTTGATTGTGCCCCATTGTGTAACATTATATGAATGACTTAACTGCTCTACCCCAATGTCCTCACCTGTGAAATGCAGAGAACAGTGGTACTCACCTGAAAGGGCTCTCATGAGAACTCACTGAAATATTTAATGTAAAGATTCCTGTATGCAGTAAGCACTGAGTTACCTGACCTCTCATTGCTCCAGTTTTCTCATCTGTAATATCAGGATGATGGTAACAATAATAGTATCTACTTTCTGGGGTTGATGAAGATTGAATGAATACATATAAACCTTTAGGACAGAGCTTGGTACCTGTAGGCATTCAGTAATGATGAGCTGTTATTATCATTTTAGGTCTTATCCTGATGAAATTGGACCAAAGCACTGGCCAAGCTCCCGGTTTGCCCATGTGATGAAACTACGACAGGCAGCCCTTCGAACTGCGAGGGAAAAATGGTCAGACTACATTCTGGTAAAAAGAGATGTTTGATTTCTTGACAACTGTCATCTAGAATGTATGCAAATCAGTCGTCCAAACCATGGAAGCAATCAAAACCGCTTTGGCTTAGGCAGTGCCTCCCCTGCTTTTTAAGAAAGGCCCAAGGAAATGTTTGGTGGTTTAAGATTGAGCTACCTGGACTTCATCTTCAGACTCACATGCATTTTTAGTGGGTAGGTGAAGAAGTGCCTGAATTATTTGGTCTCTGCCCTGCAATAGGCAGAAGAACTCTGCATACTTTTACTTCATGGGAAATGCTGTAGGTAAAGCAATACAAATTGTTCTTATAACTTTTTGGAAGAATTTGGGGGATATGAAAGAAGAATTCTGTAAAAAACAGATTGAACTGAACAGCTCTGAAACGGTTCCCTTTTGCTCCTGAATGATCTAGGGAGTAACATCTCTTGCTTGGCTTCCTGGTTGCTCCCAGCAATGCTCTGTTTGGAGATTTTATGTCCATCCCCAGTACTTCAATGACAGTGAAAATCAGCTCAATAATATATCATGCACACTTGTGACACAAATCCTTTCATAGAAGTTTTCAAATTGTACTGACAATACTTAACATTGTGTAGCTGTTTAAATGCCATTGACGTGTACAAATGTTAAACCAGGAAATTTGGGGTAAACAGATGGACTACCATGAAAATGAAGACTTCTAATTTTTTTTATGATCAAACCTACATAATGTAAAATCTGTCAGTTGATCCCTTTTTCAGTGTACAGTTTAGTATGATTTATTTTATATGTTAGAGTCTGTTGTTACAGTCTCTGTAAATAAATCACTGTTAACAGGGACTTCTAAGAATAGGAAATAGCTTCACTGGTTAACAAGGGTTGATATAATATACTTAAACAAAAATTCTACTTGTAGCATTAAAATAAATTGATAGATCTGTTTTGAGCCACTCTGGCATTACTATGGAAAAGCTAAGTAGGTCTGCCCATCTGTACCTAGACTGGGCAGTCAATAAATGTTTTTGAATGAACCTTTAATGGTTTGGGAACCATTAATATCTTGTGTTTAAAATACCAGCCAAAGTGTAGGTTGGGTCCTGGTTGAGGCTGTGCCCAGTGTGGCAGCACCAATTTATTGCTTAAGTGCCTTATGCAAAGCCCATCATACGAAAGTTAGACTAAATGTTTTTTGACTGAATGAGAACCACCTAGCTGCTCTGGGTTTCAATAAAGAGGACATAGATAACTGGTTCCATATGTCATGAGCATGCTTCTGGGATCCTTCAGAAGGGCTGGGTTATTCTCAAACTGGTACTGAACAGTACCTTTTCACCTAACATTATCCTTTTCTTTTCCTAGTTCATAGATGTCGACAATTTCCTGACTAATCCACAGACCCTCAATCTACTGATTGCAGAAAACAAAACTATCGTGGCCCCCATGCTGGAGTCTCGGGGCCTGTATTCTAATTTCTGGTGTGGAATCACCCCTAAGGCAAGTATTTTGCTTAATGAATTAAGGCTTCTAGTATTCACAAGGCAACACCCTGTCAACAGTTGCCCTAGTCACCTTTCTTTTGCTCACTCCCTTGAAACATGCATGTCATTGTGTTCCCAGAGCAATGATTTTAGGAAGGGCAGTAAACCTAGGTCCAATGCCACAACCCAGTGGGGTTCTTCTGTATTAATTAATTATGAAAAAAAAGTCTAAAGAGCTTAACTTTAGAAACTTAAAATTAGCCAATAAAGCATGCTGGAATTTGTACTTTCCCCCACCCAATTCAGGGATTACTATTTTTAATTAATTATTCTTGTCATTACAAAACTAACATAAGTATACTATAGAACAACTTCGAAATTAAAAAAAGTTTAAAAGAAAGCCAACAAAACAGATGTTCAATCCCTGTCACTGTGACAGCACCATAGGTAGAAACTTGCACATTTTTAATAACTGTATTATCATCAAGCAGCTATACTGCCATTGACTTAACCTTTATCTTGGTTTGAAAAGCATTTAAAGTATTCACAGCTTTTAACTATCGTGACCATCATGATTAATATAATTTTTCAGTGTTTAAGATTATATCCGTAGGATACCTTCTTAGAAGTGGGATTACTGAGTCAAAGAGTATGAATATTTTGATGACCTTCGATTTATGTTGCCAAATTTATTTTCAAAGAGTTCTAATAATGAAAACTTCCATAGTAGGTTGTTTTTATAAAATTCAAGTTTGAAAAAAGTTTGAATTTTTATCATTTCTTTTTTTCTTAGTAAAATCTTCAGAGTCTAGAGGTCTGTGTTAGTGAATGCTTAAGGCTGGTTGTATTTTTTATTCTTTAATGAATCAGAGAGATAAATGCAACTGATTAATGTAATATGTATCAATGTAGGATAAAAATGTGCTAAGCGAAAAAAGGTATGTTGGCCAGGTGTGGTTGCTTATGCCTGTAATCCCAGCACTTTGGGAGGTTGAGGTGGGACAATTACTTGAGTCCAGGAGTTCGAGACCAACATGGGCAACATGGAGAAACCTCATCTCTACAACTAATCAGAAAAATCAGTGAGGTATGGTGTCATGCACACCTATAGTTACAGCTATCTAGAGGCAGAGGTGGGAGGATTGCTTGAGCCCAAGACATTGAGGCTGCAGTGAGCTGTGATAACACCACTGCACTCCAGCCTAAGGGACTAAGTGAGACCTTGGTCTCAAAAAAAGGGGGAGTATGTTCAATGTATTCTCATGGCCAAAGGGCTAAAGTTTGAGTCTCCCTTTTATATTTGGTTTTGTTTTGGATGAGAAATAAGGCCCGTAGTGTGCTTATAAATGTCTAATAACTGGTTCTCTGTGGGTAAAACCCTGGTTGGTAGCACTTGTCAATTTTTATGGTTTAAATATTCCCACCATGCAAACAACTTAAATGTTGTTAAGCTAAGGGAAAAGGTTAAGTAAACTGCAATATAGCCACTTGATGATATAGCTATTACAAATATACAAAACTGCTACCTAAGGTGTTATTAGAATGCTGGGGATTAACATGATTTTTGTTTTTATGGATTCCAAGCTCCCAACATGTCAACTGGTTTGCAGAATTTCTGAAAATTTAACAGTGTGTGGTCCAGTACACCACTGGATTAAGCATTCCTCTTTTGTTGTAATTATTTCTTCCAATTGTAAGAGATTTTGGACGTATGCTATTTTTATGTCTCTTTTGAAGGCAATAGGTTCATATTTCTAAAGGCCATTCAGTTCCTTGGGATAAAACATTATATTGGTTCAAATTCATACATTTTCAGTTAATAATCCGAAAAGCATTATATTAGTTTAAATTCATACATTTTCAGTGTTTCACATGGCAGAATCACTTGAGGGTTGCTTTTAATGAGTTATGTTTTGACACCAGCAAAAAGGGTGGGTCATCCTAGTAGTCACAGCCTACACATTTATATTATCTTTTTATTTGTTTTCATGCTTAAAAGCAAATAGGAGAAATGTACTCACTTATTTTGTACGTAAAACTAAATTCTAAGTGACTTAGGGACAATTCTTATTTTCCTCCATTTATTTTTGGCTTTCTACCATCCCGTTAGTCTCCACTAAGGCAGGAATAGGAAGGACCAATGACTTCATAAGTTCAAGGCAGGCCCTGGTTTCCAGAGCCTTTAAACACATTCAAAACAAAATGACCTTGATGTTTTCTGGCCAATGAACAGAAATTATTACCAAGAAGATTCAATTTCTGTGGAAAAAGAAACACATTCGTTGCCTCTGCCTCTTTGCAGAAGACGCATTTATGCTCTCTCACTTTCATTGCTTCCTTCCTTCTCCCCCCGACTCCAAGGTTGTTCAGTGATTCATCAACATCATGGATTTTCCAAGCTTCCCACTCTGGGAATATTGTTCCTAAGCAGTTTAGAACTTTATATTTGACACAAGTCCTTAGTCATCCCTTTTAAAAAACCCGAGTTCCTTTTATCCCTTGGAAGACTGCTCATAAGCTGAAGTGTTAGGATAAGCCATAGAGAATGTTAAAGGATCCTTAAGTTAAAGGCTGATTTAAAAATCATGGTAATAATAATACTTCACCTAATGAATTGCGGTTCCCAAAATAGGTTCATTGGCCTTATCACATGTGATTCATTCTGCTGCCCTATGAGATTGACAGAGCAGCTGTTATCCCATTTTTTCAGGAGAAAAACAACTCAGGCTCAAAGAGGGTCGGCATGGGCTAAGGTGAAATGGCTAGAAGGTGGTTCACATGACTGAGACCCATGTCTTCCAAGTCCTCATTTGTGATCCTCCTCCCTTCTCACGGGGTCAACATTAGGGTTAACTCAGCTAGGGACACTCTTCTAGAATCTGAAGGGAATGTCAGAGAAGTAGATGAAGCCATAGTGCCTTATGTGCGGATTCTTAGTTACAACAGGAAATGTGACCGTCAAGTGATGTGACCGATTAATGAACACATAAGAACTTCTGCATCCAGAGTATCGTGCCCTTCAGAGGTCTGGCCTTGCAGAACCTCACACTCATCCCAGTGCACCTGCCATCACCTAGAACATTTTCCAAAATACCTTGCAAAGCTTCTACAAGTACGTTTTGTAAGCATGTTTTGTTGAGATATATCTTCATCTTTTTGGAAATGATTCGAGCTTTGGAATAAGGAAATTGGTTGTCCTGTGTGCTTGTGCAGAAGGAAGTTTCAGAAGCTGAATCCCCAAAAACTGTGGAGCGGCTGCAGCTTCACCCGAGTATTGACTAAGGAACTGCATTGAAAGAAGACCCTTATTTGTATATCTAAGTAATGCCTGTTTAATTACAAATATCAGCCGTAGTGTAATGTCACTTTAATAGGAGCCAATATTTATTGATACATTTTTGGTGCTGGGCAGTATTCTCAACAATAATCAGGTTTTATCTTACTTAAATTTTACAGCTAACCTTCTGGAGAAGATAGTGCCATCATCCCTGTGACTAAGCACAGCAAGGTGGAGTCACTCGACCCTCACCCGTAGACAATACGTAGCTGAGGTGGAATTTGAATTCTGGGAGTCTAACACAGGAACCTGTGCTCTTAACTGCTCTGCTTACCACTTCTTAATACCCATGCTTCGTATTTAATCATAAGCCAACAAAATACACTTCTATGAAATTCTTAAATCAAGAGATATGCTGAAATCAAAGTTATTTCTTATATCAAGACCCTTTTAGTATGATTTTATATGTAGACAGTATTTCTTGTGCTCACTTGGAAATTCACAGGCCATGACAAGAGAAGTGAAGGTGACTTTGTTGGAAAGCTTCTGTTTAGCTGCTGATGACTTGAAAGGAATCAGTCTAGCAAATGACTGAAAAAGATGAAGGCTTCAGATCAGAAAACACAACTCACCTACTTGCTCTTTTACAGGGCTTCTATAAGAGGACCCCAGACTACGTTCAGATTCGAGAGTGGAAGAGGACAGGCTGCTTCCCCGTCCCCATGGTCCACTCCACCTTCCTAATTGACCTCAGGAAGGAGGCCTCAGACAAGCTGACTTTCTACCCCCCACACCAGGACTACACTTGGACGTTTGATGACATCATCGTCTTTGCCTTCTCCAGCAGGCAAGCAGGTACGGGCTGTCTTTGGTTGTACTGCTCCCATGGAGACACAGCAAAATGACCAGGTCCTTTGTTTCATGCATCTTATTAAAAAACATTACATACACACACACACACACACACACAAACACACACACACCCTCACATTTCAGGTAGTGAGAGGCAATAAATTATCTGCAATAACCATACCAGCACCCTCTATATTTGTGTCCCTGGGAGCACCAATGACCATGACCAAGAGCCAGGACTGGCTTCTACCTGGGAACTTACTCTATGTTGGGGGGTAACGTTGATGGGGGGACTGGTGGTGATGTTGGGAGTCATCAGAAGGTGATTGGTTCTCTGTGTTGCTACTGCATTGCAATTGTTTATTATAGAAGTCCGTTTGTTTATTAGGAAACTGTCACAGAGGCCTAACACTGGCAAAGACCACAGACTTTAAAAATAGGAGTTCATTTCTTCTTAAGAAAGTCTGAGCTACTACAGTGGCCTTGTTCCACAAAGTGTTCAGAGTCCCAGGCTTCTTGTGTATTGCTTCTCACTCTCCATGAGGAACTGCCCTTAATTGTGCAGTCCCAGGTGTCTTACCAACTCAGATGCATTTCAGCCAGCAAGGCAGAAACAGCAGGGAGAGCTCTCCCTGTCCCTTGACGGGTGTAATCCAGAAGTTGAATACAGCACTTCCATGCAAATCCCGTTAGCCAGAACTTAGTCACTGTAAGGGAGGCTCTGAATGTCATCTTCACTCTCTGTGGGCCTGCACTCTAATTTTCACCCTCTAGTAGAAGGAAAAAACAGATAGAGGCACTGAACAGTCTCGGCCTCGGTCTCTGTGAAAGGAGAGGGAAAGCCAGACTGAAGTCTTTTGTGAACCACTTGGAAAGCATTTCTGGTGGGGCCTGTAGATTTTTGAGAAAGACAAGTCAATAGGAAGGAAAGTTATTTCTCTCATTTCACCCTACACTTGCCTCAGGAGGACACAATTCGCAAGAGCAGTTCAACAGGAAGATACATGGCATCTGACAGAGCAAAGCTTTGTTAGGATAATTCAAATACTTTCCTGACAGAATTCGGGTCCCATTATCAATGTGCCAGAAATGTGTGACTTAACCACTAGCAAAAATAGGTTCACAGACCAAGAAGATGGTGAATAAGCTCACTGTGGCGATATAACTGAGGGAGGAAAAGATGGTGCAAAGATCCCTGGCAGCTGAGGAAGTGGCCAGCAGATGAGAATGTTAATACAAATTCAAGCTACAATTCACACATCAGACTGTCCGTAAAGCCATAGGCGTCCCATTCATCAGTTGCAGATTTGCTAAGAATGAGAATATTTGGTAGCAGTGGCTCAGGCTGATGTCCCCCCTCTAGCTGCTAGAGCAATTTAGACCCTTTGGCCTGGCATAGGCATTTTGTGACCTTGTGTCCAGACAAAAGCAATCCTCATAAGGATTAGAAGTTTTTTTGCAAAGATTCCTATGTCAGTGTTAATGGAAACTGCTTCTTTCAGTTGGTCGGTGATTTGCTCTGACTTCTCCAGGATGGAGACTCCTTCGAGTGCCAGTCCCTCTCCTTCAGAGATTGAAAGTGAGATATTAACAATTACACAAATGGCACTGCCTAACGAAGTCCACCTTTATAGTCACTGCACGAAGCGTTATTATGAGCCCATGCTTGAAATTATTATGATACATGGTATGAAACCAGTACCTGGATATTTGGGCAGGAAGAGTGATTCAGGCCAGGCAGGAATTTTTCAGCTCTACCCTGTGCTTGGCCTGTTCACCAGGTCTTTGTGTGTTACTGGTCAGACTTTGCAAAGGCTTGTTTAGAACACTGAAAGCAGGTACATACACCCAAGTTGTTTGGTGCCTCATTTGGGAAGAGGAGAAATACAAAAGGAAAGAGAAAAGATCAACCCTCAAGTGTTTCCTTCTGTGCCAGGTACTATGTTGGTTGGAAGTTAAGAGTTTTATGTGTGAAAACACGGCTAATAGTCGTGAAGCAGTGAAAGCTAAGGGCCAGATTGGAGGTGCAGACCATGAACAGTGCAGGGGTCAAGGCAGGAAAGGTGCACTGTCATTTTGGGGAGATGAAAGGTATTTCTTGATAACTATGAATTTTAAGGTAATATTGTACTTATCTCTAAATATCTTTTTTTTTTTTTTTGAGACGGAGTTTCGCTCTTGTTACCCAGGCTGGAGTGCAATGGTGCAATCTTGGCTCACCGTTCCTCCGCCTCCTGGGTTCAGGCAATTCTCCTGCCTCAGCCTCCTAAGTAGCTGGGATTACAGGCACGTGCCACTGTGCCCATCTAATTTTTTTTTTTTTTTGTATTTTTAGTAGAGACGGGGTTTCACCATGTTGACCAGGATGGTCTCAATCTGTTGACCTCGTGATCCACCCGCCTCGGCCTCCCAAAGTGCTGGGATTGCAGGCTGGAGCCACCAATCTCTAAATATCTTTGAGAGAAACATGAAGGAGCCTGGGAGTCAAGGGCAGCCCAAGGGGTGTCTCTAGGCACTTCCTTCCTTAGTTCCAAAGCAAAGCACTTTCCCTCTTTTTTCATGAAAGATAATTGGTATTCTTTTGTTCTTACTCTCTGAGCTCCCTAGCTGTATATCATCGATGTCCCAGGCAGGATCATATAACTGCAAACCTTGGTCCTAAATCTTTCACCCCAGACTCTAGCCATTGCCCTGTATGGGTGATGAGGGCCAATCCAAGTGTTCTGGTGAGCAAGGCCTGGCCACCCTTCTAGCCCAAGAAGAGAGTGCCAGGTCATAGACGAGTCTCTGTGGCTGGAATGAGGCCAGGGTCAAGAGTTCACCTCCCATTGTGGCCAGGGATCTGGGTTCTGTGTTATGGCCACAGGAACCATTTCGGCACCAGCCAGTCATCTTCCAAATGTCTGATGGGAGTCAAAAGAGGCAACTGATAAGGGCAATGGGCAGACACATCTTCCTCCTGGACACCACTGGTAGTGAACAAAATTGTCCCCGTGTGGAGAGATGGCAATCTCCTAGTGGCTAATGCTCTTAGAACTGAACTTCCAAATCCTGGGTAGGTCGAAAGCACTTGGCCTTGGCTCTTTAGGGACAAAGATTTGGCACTAATGACTTACTGGGTGACTTTGGGCAAGTGACAGGCTGAGTATGATTTTTCATCACCAAGGATAGGGATAATTATATCAATCTGCAGTGTTAAGGTACTATGTGAGTATAAGAAAACGTTTTATATGTTTATAAGAAAACCAAAGTCCTTCAAAATGTAGCGTAATTCCCTTCTATTTTTCAAAAGAAAAATTGTTTTCCCCAGAAGCAGCTTTCACTGAGAATGCAGACTCTTTCATAGACTTTATCTGATTATTAACATATTTTCTTTTAAATTTTATTTTATCAAACTGCCCATGCACATAGATGAAAGTATTCACATAGTTACCCATGGTTTATTAAGAAATGAGTAGTCTTCTGCACACCTTGCACCATTTCTGTCTTCCAGAGGCAACCACTTCTACCTCTTTTAAATGGTCATATGGTATAATATTTCCATCCATGTTAAATTATATGCATGTATTGCTACTTCTTGATTTTCTGGCTTTACCGTAGGCATTATTTATTGACTCTCCACTATAGACACTGAGGAGTCAGCTCTCTTCCTGCCTTTTGCTCTCTGCATGCAAACACATTCTTCTCATCACTGTTCTTCCAATGTAATTTCAAACCAATCGATGGTCAGTGTTCTTGTTGTTGTAATCAAGGGAGCCTAACAACTCCAAGCTCAGTCATTTATACGCTATGATTACTTCTCGTTTGCCTTTAATTTACTTTAGAGGCTGTTTCTTTAATAGCTGCCTTTTCTTGCTTAGCTTTATTATTACTAGTAAGATCCAAAACTAATCACTAATTACCTCAAACTCCTCTCAGAATGTTCAGATTTGTCAGATGTCCTTTTCTGCACATTTGTGAAGATATCTGTCCTGAGCCTTCTAATATATTCTAATCTGAGTGGTGCTGCAGCTATCATTCTAAGGCTTATTTTTCTTCTCTTACACACTGACTCTCCTGTTCATGTTGTTTGTAATCTTTCTTACTAGTTATAATTGTCCTCCTCTTCTTCCTCCTCCTCCTCTTCCTTACTTCGCTCCTCATCCTTCTCCCACATCATCCAGTAACTTTCTGAGAAAGTATGATGGCAAGTAAATATATTATGGTCTTGCATGCCTAAAAATGCCTTCTTTGTACCCTCACACTTGATGGATAGTTTGGATAGGTATCGCACCATTTTTTAATGGAAGCCTCAGAAAGTTAAATGGTAAAATGGTTTGACTAATTAGGAGAGATGCAACTTTAATATCTTTTTCCTTCTACTTCCTGAATTCATCATGACTTTGACGCTTCCCAGAAGCATTCATGTGGGCAAACAGCAGAGCTGATGAGTTTGCTTGGTGAAGGCAAGAGAAGGAACAGTGCTTGGTAGACCAGCCTTGATTCAAGCCAGATTCAATGAAAGCAGAGAATAAAGGTTCTTTTCTTTTCTGGTTCCTCTCTGTTAATGCCATGAGACAGCTTCACCTGATTTGGCAGATGATGTAGCTGACTGGAGGAAATTTCGTCTGCATAAAGCAAATAATTCCCTCTCAGGAAATCACTGACGATTATAACAATTAACAAATCAGAGGCTTGGATACGTGGACCAGAGCTTGGCGGACTCATCTTTTTCACTAAGCAATTTTTTCATTGGTCAGGAGTGTCAATTGTTGATCAGTGATCTATATGAGACCGTCCTGATGCCTGTATTTCTAGCTTTCTGGTTGAACACAGATGCCTTACAACCACAAGTTATCAGATGGGGCTATGAAGACCAATTTGAATATGGGAAGGGTACTGCATACATATTTCTGGTGTTGCCATACTACACGTTCTTAACAGGGCATTCTGAAATGCTAACTCTTTTGTCTCTATATGAACTGATTTTGGAAGTTTCATGTCTGTTGGTTTGCTCCAAATCCATGCTTGCTAAGGGAAGAAATAAAACCAAGGAGAATCATGGAGAATTTTAGATTTCCTTTGTTTTTTCATTTTTTCTTCTATGTATGCCTAGATTTAGCTTTAATAATCTGTCAGCATGACAGAATTTTCCTGTTTGCTTTCATATCAGATGTGGATTTCATTCCGCATTTTCTCGTTACTTCCTGTAGGTGGATTACGGCGTTCCATTCTGCCCTCTGGAATGGGAATTCCTTGCCTTTCTTTTGATCCTTTCATGCCTTTTGTCTTCATTCCAGGCCATGAGTTTGCTTTTTCTTCAGAGAGAAAAAAAATCAATTTCCTCTGGGCTAAAGAATGGCCTAGTGTTTTTATTAGTCCCCAATGCTCTGTTTTTCTTTTTTATAAAGTAGCATTTTTGAGGTCCATAGACAACCCTGAAACAACTACTTATTTAATTGCAGTGTCAAACTCAGCATCAGACACAGTTCAGGTTCCTTCTCCTCACCTGTCACTCAGCAGTGTTTTCTGATTGTCAGCTTTGTCCCTCTGTTGGACCCTCAGGCATCCAGATGTACCTCTGCAACAGAGAGCACTATGGCTACCTGCCCATCCCCCTGAAGCCCCATCAAACGCTGCAGGAGGACATCGAGAACCTCATCCACGTGCAGATTGAAGCAATGAGTGAGTGACCCAGGAGCGCAGGGCGGGGATGGCTCTCATTCCATTGCCACAGTGACCACACCAGCCACTTCCCTCCTCTTCCACGTTTCGAATCTCACAGCCATCAGTCTCTCCTGGCTGAATACATAGCTATTTATTTGTTCATTCTTTCCCAAACTTTTCCTGTGGGAAATATGAATATGACAAAGTCTCTGCCTTCTGGGAGCTTCCCATCCTAGAGGAGAGCTGGGTACAAAGTAAATACTTTCCAAAGGATCTGATAAGTGCTGTCATAGTGTTTTGTGGTATGGACTTAAATTCTAACTTGGCTGCTTTCTAATTATATGACTTTGAGCAAGTAGCCTTAGTTGTAAAATGGAAATAACGAACACTTCCAGGGTTTGGGGGCACATTCATTATGGTATATGTAAAAAGTCTAATACAGAAACGGTAATGATGACTTCAACTGAGTAGTAGCTCATGATGTAACAGATACCACTGTTACATCAGAAAATGCTAAGCACTTTTTGTACATTGTCTCATTAATCCTTGCAACAACTCAATGAAGGGGTTTTATTATACCCATATTAAAGATGAAAAGAAATGAAGTGTTGTTTTAAGTACCTTGCCCTAGATCATTCTGCTGAACAAATGACAGATTGGGATTTGAACACATCTTGCTATCTCCAAAGTTCATGTCCTTCAACACTATTGTTATTGCCTCTGGGTCTGGCATGATATATGAATTGCTCTGCTCTGTTATCAGTAGGTGTGATGTACAATGGTGGCTAAAAGAGAAAGCAACCAATCCACCTAACCTAGAGAAAGATGTTGAAAATGTCTTTCCAAAGCGGGGACCATTTTCTGTCATTCGTCAGTAGAGCATAGGAGGTGTGTATGTGAGCAGTGGAGGTGGGAAGGGAGGAACAGCAGGAACTGAAGCTAGAGGGTGGACAGGAGCCCCATCAGGAGACTCTAATGTATAAGAAGCTGTTTGGGCTTTAGCTGAAAGGATAGGAGCTCTCAAAAAGATTTTAGCACAGAAATGTCAGGTCGAATTTGGATTTAGAAAGGTCACGATAGTGACAAGAGAAGTGTAGGTGGAGCGTGCATGAGCAGTGGCTGCTGGTCTCAGGCCAGAGGTGAAGAGACCACTGGACATTTCATGGCTACTGGGAAAAAGGTGGTGAGGACCTGAGCTAGAGCAGTAGCAGTGAAAATGGAGAGGAAGGAAGAGAAGCTCAGGATGTAAGCTTGTAAGGACCTAGCCAAAGGTTGGTAGTAGGTGGATAAGCAAAAGGGAGGCATAGAGAAAACTCCCAAGATCTGTCTTGAGTGTCTGAGGGTGATTTTAGGAACTTTAAATGGAATAGGACATGTAGAAAAAAGGAGGGTTTTGAAAAGAGAGACTGTGGCTGGGCACTGTGGCTCATGTCTGTAATCCCAGCATTTTGGGAGGCCAAGGTGGGTGGATCACCTGAGGTCAGGAGTTTGAGATCAGCCTGGCCAACATGGTGAAACCCTGTCTCTACTAAAAATACAAAAGTAAGCCAGGTGTGGTGGTGTACATCTGTATTCCCAGCTATGCAGGAGGCTGAGGCAGGAGGCAGAGGTTGCAGTAAGCCGAGATTGCGCCATTGCACACCAGCCTGAGTGACAAAGCGAGACTCAGTCTCAAAAAAAAAAAGGAAAAGAAAAGAGAGATCATGAGTTTATTTTTAGATCCATTGAGTTGTCTATGAGTATCTGTTTCCCATTCTCTTGCTCCTATGCTATAAATTCCTTTTTTATCATGTTAGTCTCAGGACCTACACATTGTCTGTCACCTGGTAGATACCCAGTAAATATTTGTTGAAGGACTGAATGAATGGTGATGAAATGACTGAATAAGGAGCTAGTTCACTGTGACAGTGTTTCTTGAACCAGTCCTCAGGAATCTCCTTCGTGAATTTCTTTAACACATACTTTTTTGCTGCTTTCCCTATGTTCTAGGCCCTACAGGGTATGGGTAGCATCTTATTGCTTTGTATCCCAAGCACCTAGCACAGTGCCTGGAATGCAGTTGTTACAAAAATAATATCTGCTGAACGCATGAACAGATGAGGAAATGAATGAATGAAAACTGTATTGACAAGAGCACTGACCTCAAAGCCAGAACAATGGGCTCGAACTTAGGTGCTGTCACTTATGAAGAGAGAATCACCTTTCAGGACTTTAGTTTCTGCATCTATAGAGTGGTTTTATATGCTTGAGATGAGAAAATAAAATAATGCATCAACTCCACAAAATAATGAGGTGTTGCTATTATTATGACTCCATTTAGCTCTTGATAAAGTGCTGTCCCATCATCCCTGTTTCATGGCTGTCGGTCTTGACTCCCAAGTAAGGAGAGTCTCTCTGGCCTCAGAGAGAGACCAGCCAGAGCCTTATGTTCTCTTGTTTTCTCCCACAGGGCTGAGAGTACAAGTTCTCGGTACACAGAAATGCACACGTGGTCAATAAAGATTTTAATGATTGCAAATTACAAATATGCACAACACCATGCTAGCCAGGTAGAGTTCATCTGAGAAGAACCTGTAAATTATGCCTTTCATCATTGGTCTCCCAACACATGCCACCTCTAGTGCTAAGCACTTCACATACCACATTTATTTTTATACTTACCTCCTTCTCTGAATTTTAAAAATATAGAACATAATCAAATAAGAAAATGTTGAAAAATAAAATTTTGAGAAATATGGTTTGGAGGTCCATGTAAGATCAATAAAATATTGGTAATGGCAAAATCCTATCAGTCAAGTATCCTTCTCTAATAAAAAATTAACTAAATGTTAGAAACACTTTGCATAGTACCTGGAACCCAATGAGCAGTAAATAAATGGCTGCTAATTGTGTTATTAGACTATATTGATTGAAGAATAGGAATGGAGTGTCTAATATTCTGGCTTCCCTGGGCCATACTGGAAGAAGAATTGCCTTGGGCCACACCTAAAATATACTAACACTAGCAATAGATGATGAGCTAAAAAAAAAAATCACAAAGAAAATCTCATAATATTTTAAGAAAGTTTACAAATTTGTATTGGGTCACATTCAGAGCCCTCCTGTGCCACATATGGCCTGCGGGCCACAGGTTGGACAAGCTTGCATTAGAAATGCATTTTATTCATGAGCAAACACAGAATGCCTATAATGTATGTGTCGTCTATGAAGGTACTGGGGATTCAAAACATTTTATGATCAATTTTCTGTCTTCGGGTACTTATGATTTAATAGGAGAAACAAGATAGATGTTTAAAAAAAACAAACAATGCAGTCTAGCATTTTGAGAAAGGAGAAAATATCAAAGCAATCAAAATTTGGGATAGAGAGAGATTGCTGTGGCCTGTGTGATCCAGGAGAGCCTCAAGTCCTAATGATTCTTTATTTATTTATTGCATTTTAGGTTTTGAGGTACATGTGAAGAACATGCAAGATAGTTGCATAGGTACACACGTGTCAGTGTGATTTGCTGCCTTCCTCCCCTTCACCTATATCTGGGACTTCTCCCCATGCTATCTCTCCCCAACTCTCCCCATGCTGTCCCTCCCCTATTCCCCCCAGCTGACCCCAGTGTGTAGTGCTGATTCTTAAGCTAAGCTTGGGTAAAAGTGTAGAATTTAAACAAGAGGAGTGGTACAGTGGTACAGTCAGAGGAAAAAGACTGAGAAAAGACAAAGTAGTCTCATGAGACTTTGAAGGAAAGCTGACTTAAAACAGTAGGCAGAAATAAAGTCTGGTAGGGTGGGGTGGCTTCATTGCTGTGGTCCTTGAATGCTCAACTAAAGAAGAAGGCCCATCCTAAGGAGCCGATGAAGGTGTCAGAAGAGAGAATCGGGATGTAAGCATTTATTCAAACCACACTGTACCTTGTACAAATTGTTCAAGATACTGGGCACACAGCAGTGAACAAAATAGGCAGACAGCCTGCCAATAGGAAACTTATATTCTAACACAGAGAGTTAGACAACAGACACTATATCTAGGAAGCAGACACATGAATATTTGGGAAAAGAATGTCCGAAGTGGAGTGAAGAGGACATGTAAAGGCTGTTAGACAGGAAAAGCTTGGGGTGTTCCAGGGACAAAAAGCCAGAGTGGTTGGGGTATAGAGAATGAGTTGGGTCAAGGGAGATGAGATCATGGAAGAAGAAATTTCTAGATCATGCAGAACATTCTGGCCATGGTAAGGAATTTAGATTTTACTCAAAGAGTAATGGGAATCCGTGGAAGGGTGGGGGGTGGGGGGTGGGGGTGGCCTGATGTGACTTGTGCATCTTGAAGTATCGTTTGGGCTGTGGTGTGGATACCAGAGTGTAGGGGACCAGTACCTCTCTCCTGGTGAGACATGATGGTAATTGGGATGTGAGCTATAGCAGGGAGGTAATGAGAAACAGACAGATTGAGGATATATTTTGGTGGTAGAGCCAATAGGACTTACAGAGACCTGGATGCAGTCCATGAAGGGAAGAAAGGAATCAAGAATGAGTCCAGGATTTTAGCCTAATATACCATTTACTGAGATGGGAAAGACTTTACGGAAAAAAGACTGGAAAGTGGGGAGGTAGTTTTGGCCACGTAAGCTTAAGATATTTATTAGACATTTAAATAGAAAAGTTAGAAGATAATTGGATATGTGAGTCTGGAGTTCAGGGAAGAGACTCCAGCTAGAGACAGACATTTAGAATCATCAGCATCAAAAGAATATCTGAAACCATGGAACAGTGTGGACTCATGTAGTAAAAGAACTTGGGACGAGAAGAGGACAGATCCCTGGGGAAGACAAACAGCCAGAGAGCTGAGAGGAAAAATTGAGAAGTGTTTCAAGAAAGAGCCAAGGAAAATGAGGATAAAGAATTATTCACTGGTTCTGTCAAGATAGAGGTCTCTGTGATGTCCTTGATAAGGACCACTTCAATGTGTCCTCAATGATGAGGACACAAATCCATTCAAGTGGACTGAAGAGAAGCCAATGTGGAAACAAGAAAGCTGAATCTTGATGGGATGGGGAATGGAGAAATAACATGGAGGCTGTTGGGGGTGAGAAGTCAAGGGAAAGGTTTTCCCGGTTGAGTTTGGTTTGTCTGTTTGCACCGTTTTTTCTTTTTCTTTTAAATGGAAATGTAGCAGTATGCTTGTATGCTAATCACAAGTATCCAATATATAAGGAGATCTTGACGATGTAGAAGAGACAGTAATTGTAAGACAAAAACAATACGGTTTTTGTCCTAGCCTGTAGCCCGGGACAATATTAGAGGCTATACTAGATAGAAACTTCATCTCCTGTGGCAGATTGGATGGCAGAATGCATCCGTACACATGCGGTTTGGTTGGTGGACTTCAGGTCGATTGAAAAGCTGGATCTAATTTGATTTTGAATGTTTTCTTTCTGACGTATATAGTCCAGTCATGAGCTAGACAGAGATTTTGTAGATTTCAGGAGAGAAGGCATAAGACACAATCTCTCAGAGAGTGGGAAAATAAGTTTACTGTGGGAGGACAGTTACATAACTTGGTGGTATCAAGTGCCAACCAATTTGACATCTGTGGTTGTAGCTTTGAAGTGACTCGGTCAACACAATTGTGTATGTTTCTCACAGTAGTCCTCTTGATGCTGAGTAAGTGGGCAACTGGATTTAACCAGGATTAGGGTTTTATCAGGCATCAGTGGATGAGAATTGAAAATGTTGTGAAAAGCATGGTCAGGGAGTTTCGGAGTTGTAGACTGGAGATTTAGAAATCAGAGTGGAAGGATTTGAGTGAGGTGGGAGAAGGGTTATGACAGCAATAACTAACACCTATTCAAAGTGCTCTTCCCATCTCTTTTCATGTGGTAACTCATTTAGTACATTCGAAGCTGTACAGAGAATTCGGGGATGTGCCTCCAATGGGAGATGAATGACAGGAGACCAGATCTTGTAAAGATGCTAGATTTAAATGGTTTATAAACATGAGGAGATTGCTCTTGCAAATTACAGCGTAAGGTGATAGGAAGTCTCAGGTACCTGTTCTCATATTGACATTTTGAGACAACAGCACATCATCTGAATATTACTAAGATAATTGTATTTGAAGTCAGATCTAACAGTGAGTTCCAGTTCTGCTAATCACTCAGTATTTGAACTTGGAGAAGTCTACATCTGGCTTGGTCTCAGTTTCTTTATTTGTAAAAACAATCGCCACAGAAAGTGAAGGTAAAATTACATGGTGACTATGAAAACACCTAGCAAGCTATTTAAGCCCTTAACTGTAGTGCTGAGTGTGCCAGTTATGGTTGAGAACAGAGCTGTGCAGCGGAAGATTATTTTGACAACAGTGTGAATGATTGATTAGAATAGAAAAGACTGAGACATGTGAGTGTTTGAAAAAAATAAAACACAGCCCAGGCACAGTGGGTAAGGACCTGAGGCAGGCTACAGCGATGGAAGAAGTTCAGGAGAAGGTATAGAGAAGAAGCGTTACGATTTGATCCAAGTATAGTCTGTCAAGTACTTTTCCAGATACAACTGGGCTTAAACAACTCAAATGAGCTACTCTGGACCCAGCCCAGTTGCCTGGTTGGCTAGTATCAGTGGCCAGCAAGGACTAGCTCTGGGGGTGATGTGGAGTGTGCATTAAGAGCTCCGGCGCAGGAGCTCAGACCTGTGTTCAAATACCAGCTCTATCAGCTCTGTGGTCTTGGGCAAGTTATTTAACGTTTGTTTCCTTGTCTGTAAAATAGACGCACTCGTACATATCCCATGGTACATGTGAACATTAACTATATGTCAAGTGTCACTCACAGAACTCTGGGTTCTGGGAGTGATAAGATCTCTGTAACAATGGCTGTAATTATTCACATTAGATCCTGAAACTATCCAGAAAGCAGTGAGGCCCATTGTCCCAAGTGGTAGTACAAGGGAAGGATTATTTCCAGGAAGGGATTTGATGACAGACCAGATCAATTATGAATGATGGAGTCAGAAATGACCACCGACAGAAGCCAGGACATACCTAATCTTCAAGTCTGTTGTCAGCAAAGATGCATCCTTCTCCCCGCAGACTGTTTCTTAGGTCCAATTCACTGTATCACTTTTGTTTTCCTCTGTGGCTTACTGCCGCCTTCAGTGGCAAAACTCAAGCACACTTCTCTGATATTTTTGCTCAATGATGACTTTCAGGAGCCACCCACTTGTGGCTTTTGTGCAACACTTCTCCTGTGAATGCCTAAGTTTGATGGAAACAAAGTGGCTAAAATCAGTCTCTTTGGCTGAAATGTTAAAGCCATGTAGGCCATGTGAGTCCAACGGAGACCAGCAGCCTAGAACAGGTAACTCAAAATATAATGTCCTCCCAAGTCTCAGGCCCCAGGAGGGAAAGCTAGACAGCTTCTCAGATAATATCATGCACAAGAGGAAGCTGGTACATTAAGTTTCTTTCTCTTAAAAACCTAACCGTGTACGAGGTGGACCCTCCCAGTTGATTTTAAAAGAAACTAATAAGGAGTGGAGTGGAGCAGAAAGGACCAGACTATTCTGGGCTGCTCTTGGGAAGAGAAACACGTGCCCTGCATGCTCACAGAAATGTGACTGTGTCAAGTTTGAAGTAATGAGACCAACTCTTGTGTTTGGCCTAAGAACTCCGTCTCACTATGTTCTAGCATTTCACATCATCTGCCAATAAATAAAATTGGATGTCAGGGTTTCTGTGTAGTATCTCAGTGAAGTTAAACAGATCATACCCTTTGGACAGTGTCTCAGGATGGGCAAAGTTATGCTAGAATATAAAAATCTGATGGGCTTCAGACAATAATGGCTTATTTCTTGCCATCCAAGTCTGCAGAGCTCGTGTCTTTCCTCATTGCTGCCCTCCATGTGTTGATGCGGCATTCCAGGCTGTTTCCAATTCGCAGCTGCTCCATATCCACGTATGCAGCTACGAGCTCAGTGGTGGGACAGGGACAGGGTGGGACAGGGACAGGGTTGGGGGAGCTCTTGGAGACTGGAGCAGCAGCACTGCACTGTAAACTTTCCCCAGAAAGTCACAAAGCCCTGAATAACTTCAAGGGCAAGAGAATGTATTCCTCTCCTGTGCCTGGAATAGAGGTTACAGTAGTAATGGCCATCACCCATACTTCTTTCAACAACCCAGTTACCAGCTCACATTTTAAATTTTCTTTGTATTAGCCCTTTAAGGAAAATCAAATGAGTACTTTGAATTTGTATAATACTAAAAATTCTTCAAGGCCTTTTCTGATTTCTTAACTGATATTACTTCCAATCTTTAAAATACATAGTTTGCAAAGGAAGCTTTTTTAGAGTATCAAGTAAATAAAACTTTCATTGCTTAAGAAGCAGTGTCACTCCCAGCTGGAATCTGCCCATTACCCCTGTCTCCAGTTCTGGGATGTGGGCCAGCCCTCCATGGTAAGATTCTGTTATAGCAGAGGACGTTTTGCGCACCCACAGCTAAACCTGCCTGGGTAGGATAAAAATAGTCCCACACTTTGACAATTTTAAATGTAGAGAAAAAAGTGTTTTTCAGTAAAATTTCTAGCCTATTTCTGAGCTCCGTCATCATGGGCCATAGTAATAGCTATGAATTGTTGAGCATTGACTATGCTAAAATGGTGAGTGCTTTGCATGCAGGTCTCATTTAAATTTTATAACACAGATACACTTATATTATCCCAATTTTACGCCAAAGAAATGAACTTAACAAGGTCCCCTCACTCTCCTACTCCTTCACAAACTAAGATTTGGACCCAGATCATCTGACTCTGGAGCCCTTCCTCTTAACCATTATCCTAAACTGCCTCTTAAATATTCTTGAAAAAGGTCTTAAGGGAAGTGGAGCAAATGTCACAATCTCCATATGAACAAATGTTCTTGAAACCAGTGCCCTGACCAGCAGGGTTCCCATGTGGCCACTCAGTCCTGAAGAACTGCTGCCATCATTCCACGCTCTGTATTTCCAAGTTGTACTCCAGCCTTAGAGGTCAGGCATGCGGATACAATTCTGATTTCTGACCCTTTCATTAACAAAGCACTCTGTATGTTTCTTGTGTCTTCCAGTTGATCGTCCTCCAATGGAACCCTCCCAGTATGTCTCAGTTGTCCCTAAATATCCAGACAAGATGGGATTTGATGAGGTAGGAAAGGTGTCTATATGTGTGTGCATGTGCATGTGTGTGCAGGCTTATGTGTCCGTTTTGGAACACAAGCCTGAGCTTGCATCTGAGACTCAGCAAGATTTTGCTTCGTTGCTGAAATGGCTCTGAGGTCTTGCAAAAACTACTTGGTTTTTGTTGTTCCTTAGTTACTTTATCTTTGTTTTTTTTTTTTTTGAGACGGAGTTTCGCTCTTGTTACCCAGGCTGGAGTGCAATGGCGCGATCTCGGCTCACCGCAACCTCCGCCTCCTGGGTTCAGGCAATTCTCCTGCCTCAGCCTCCTGAGTAGCTGGGATTACAGGCACGCGCCACCATGCCCAGCTAATTTTTTGTATTTTTAGTAGAGACGGGGTTTCACCATGTTGACCAGGATGTTCTGGATCTCTTGACCTCGTGATCCACTCGCCTTGGCCTCCCAAAGTGCTGGGATTACAGGCATGAGCCACCATAGCCGGGCTACTTTATCTTAAAAATAGGAGGATCATGATAAAAGGTAGTTAATTATTTACTCAGAAATAAATTACCATTTAGTAATGAAAGTAAATTTGATATTTTCTAGGAGCAGATATTGCCATATTTTTTAATCAACCTTTTAATCAAAGTTCACGAGTAAGGTGGACAGGATACATGTTTTAGATATGGAGGACTTTAACTTCATTCTGCCACATCGAGCAAGTGGAAACTATTCTGGAACTTTCTGTGCTTTATTTTCTCTCTACTATTCTTCCCTGGGAAAAGGTTGGAGAGCAGGATTGAGAGGACAAAGAAAGAAAAAAAATTGTTCTAAAATTCTGACTTTCAGCAGACAAGAACTTCCTAGTGATATTCTAAGGGTTGTATTATTGAGTTTTAGTTGTATAAGGAATGAAGCAAACATATTAAGAGGTTTCTTTCCTGACGATGTGCATAACAGATACTTGGCAGGAATTGTGACTCCACATCACCGACTCTCTCATGGGTCCCTCCTATAGCTGCCAAACAGTATTCAGAGGAGCTCGGTGGTCTAGACGCTAGGGCGGTGCCTCAGGAATCCACACACTGAGAATTCTTCCGTGGACTCTGGATATGTTGCAGATCAGCCTTTGAGCTGGGTGCTCATCGCCACTGCTTAATCGAAGGAAGATGCCTTGTTTGTCACATGGTAACATATACATACATGTCCCCAAAGTACAGTCTTCTCAAAGGGATTTGACACTGGAACTGGGAATCAAGATTTCTCCCATAAAACTGATTTAGAGCTAGACCTAAGGAATGGGGAAAGAGTATTTCATGAATATTAAATGGAGAAGAGTTAACAGCTACTATGCTGTTTCCACAGAGGGCGGAATGAGAAGAGATGAACTACATGTAGTGAGGAATCAGACTCATTCGCAAATAGTTTTCAAAAATGATCAGGGTTACAGAGAAGGTTGTCCCACACCCAGAGTGGACCAGCTTCCACATGTAACTGTAGCTGTCCTTCCCTGCATCCCTCTCTTGGTTGCCTAGGAGAAAGAACCCAAGTGTCCTTACGCAGATTTATTTTTCCTCCTAAAAACATTCCTATGAGGACCAAACCAAAGAAACAAAATAAGACAAAAACGAAGATCATCCAGGTCTGGTCGTCCTTGGGCAGGACACGGTGTAAGGACCGGGTCACTCCTAGAGCCCTTCAGGAAAGAGCTAACTCCGTGAAGTGGCACGGGCTCAGAGACTCTGCTTTCCTGAGTCTGCGGTAGTCTCCTCTCTATGGAACAGATAGCATGGTGGAGAAAGGGCTTTTCAGGGGCCTTTCTATCCTCCTAGGACTCTGTGACCTCATTGGTGGTGTCTGGGCTGCATTTGGCTGTGAGGCGCTTTTTTCTGTTTACGGTTCACTAAGTATGAGCGAACTGTCTGTTTTTCCTTCGTGGCTACAGTTTTATTGCACTTGTCCTGGCAGGGACTGCAACTGGATTGTTATTTACTAAAAGTCTCCCCAGACTAGAGATCTCTGATTTGGGGGACCTTTTTGGATGCATTTTTGTTGATTTTTTTGTTCTGTTTCTTCTGTTCTCCTACAGTGACCCCGGATGGTTCCATGTTTATTCCTTAGAAAATACCCTTTCCTTTCCATATCTGGAAAATTAGGGGATGAGACATGATCCGTCACAGTATGAGTCTGACTAAAACAACACAATCCATTAAGTTATAAAGTCCAAAGTAATGAGGCAAATAGAGTAACCACAGAATATTATGTTTTTTACAGAATAATTACCCAGTTAGGTAAACAAGGAAGGTAATAAAATTAGGATGCACATAATCTACTTGGCCTTAAATCAGGTGGACAATTTTTTCAAAGAGAACATCTTGCTCCTCCATCAGTTTCTATGCCCAGGGATTTATAAATGGATATAAATGACAATATTTTGCAAGGAAGGGTTGAAATTTTAGTTAGTGTAGCTTTTAATTCCATTGAATATATATATATATATATATATATATATATATATAAATGACTGCATTCAGAATGACATGTGAACCAAACCTTAACACGGTACAATCTGAACTCATGACTGGTTCTAAGACAACATTTCTCCTTTATTCTGGCCATAGCAGAAAGCCTATTTTATTATAAAACACCATCTCAGATGTTTTAATCTGTACTGAATTTGAAGGATGAGTTTGTTCACCTTCCTATTTTTTACAGAACTGGACCCAGAAACATTAATGTCTTCCTCAAAGTCATCCAGATGGTTAGTCAGGATGAAGTCACTACCACCTGACTTATTTCTGTAGTTTCTGCCTTACTATGCTATGTGTCATCATTTCTCACTGGCAGTTAAAGTCACTAGTTTAACATTTAAAGTGAGTTTCTTACTGCTTGTAGCTAAAGGACCTTATTAAAACATTGATTTACCTGTAATGGCATTCACAAAGCTTTAGGTACTTCTGTGGTTCATTAAATCTGGGAATAGTGAGGACATCTTCACTATCTGTAACTCTTGTTGTCCTTATAAAAAATGAGTTGGCTGTAAATGTGTACACTTATTTCTGGTTCTCTATTCTGTTCCATTGGTCTGTGTTTTGTATGTTCTTATGTCAGTACCATGCTGTTTTGGTTACTATAGCTTTGTAGCATATTTTGAAGGCAGGTAGTATGCTGCCTCAAACTTTGTTCTTTTTGCTCAGAATAGCTTTGGCTGTTCAGGATCTTTTGTGGTTCCATGAAAATTTTAGGATTTTTTTTTCTTTTTCTATGAAAAATATCATTTGTATTTTGGTAGGAATTGCATCGAATCTGTTTATCACTTTTGATAGTATGGACATTTTAGCAATATTTATTCTTTCAATCTGTGAACATGGGATATCTTTTTATTTTTAATGTCCTTCCATTTCTTTTATGTGTGTTTTATAGTTTTCATTATAAAGATCTTTAACTTCTTTGGTTAAATTTATTTCTAAGTATTATTAATTTTTTGTAGCTATTATAAATGGGATTGTTTTTTCTATTTCTTTTTCAGATTGTTTGTTGTTAGCATGTATAAATACTAATAATTTTTGTTTGTTGATTTTGTATCATGTAACTTCACTGAAGCTGTTTATCAATTCTAATGGTTTTTTGGTGGAGTCTTTAGGTTTTTCTAAACATGGGATCATGTTGTTCTTTGATCTCTTAAAGAGCAGCTTTTTTAAACTTCCCTATTTCAAGAGAAGGGAGAACATATTTATCAATGAACATCAGAGAAACAAAGAATTTGTTAAGTCATTACAAAGAGTTGAGCTTTGCAAATAATTCAGTTTGAATTAATATAATTTACCTTAAATAAACACTGGTCTGAGACACAAACAAGTTTTCACCACAGTTCTTCCTATCCTTTCCACTTCTTCTTCTATCTAAAACATTTACTAAACTTTTCAAACAGCCTAAAAGAAGACTTGAATAATTCATGTGTCTTTTCCCTTTTTCTTCTTGCATTAGATTTTCATGATAAACCTCAAGCGCAGAAAGGACCGGCGGGACCGGATGCTGCGCACACTGTATGAGCAGGAGATTGAGGTCAAGATTGTCGAGGCTGTGGATGGAAAGTGAGTTGGGTTTCCTCTCCCCTTGCAGATGTGATTGGAGTGGGGATACGTCTTCTCTGACAGACCGTTAGTCCCGGGTGGGGCTCTAAGACTCTTTGGTCGTTAGAGGATAGTCCTGTTTTTAAAACAGCCATGTGCCACCTATAGTAGCATTTAAGTTCATTTAATCCTGTAGAGCAGGCATGAAATCCACTCAGCAGCCAGTGTTCTTTGGTCTACATTAAACTGAAGACTAACATTGGATGTGATTGTCCCATCACTGAGGGTTCTTGGAACAGTTGTGGTGTTCAGCATTCTGCGGTGTCACAGAAGGAATGTGTTCAGAATTGTGTTCAGAGTGGAATTAGAGCATCAAGTTCTGAAACTTGGGCAACCTGAAGAAAATGGATAGAAAAATGCATAAAGGTCCACATGTCCTGTTGCATGAGATGCCTGCCACAGTCTACCTGGATTGATCAGAGTGGCCACTTTTCGTGGAAATATGGCAGGAAAGTAATACAGAGAACCTAGTTACATCCCTTCTTTTTGTTTTATCTTGTTTGGCTCTGCCCTTTTATTTGACACCCTAAACTGTTTCAAGGCATGGAGTTTTACAAAATGTGCCTTTCCATGTTATATGTTGGTTTCGAATATCAGTTTCTTTGTTTTCTATTTGCATACCCCCAACTAAGGAGTATGGCTAGCAGTTGTTGAAGATTTATGACTCCCTTAGAGAATCTCATCAGTGTTTCTCAAAGTGTGATCTGAACACCCACATCAGAGTCCCCAGGGGTGGTTAAGGGGGCATCTGCCTCAGTCCCATCTCAGACCATCTGAATTATGCTCTGTGAGGCTGGACCTAGGAACTGCATTTAAGAAGCCTCAAGGTGATCCTTGGATAGGATTGCCACATAAAATACTGGGTAGCCAGTTAAATTTGTCCTCAACATCATGTAGGGGTTGGTTATACTAAAAAATTATTCATTATTTATCTGGAACTTAAATTTGACTGGGTGTTTTGTGTTTTTAACTTCCTAAATCTGTCATCCCTATTCTTGGGTGCAGTAGAGTTTAGGAACCACTGCTTCACATGCCTCCAAGAGCCTCAGTCCCATTCATAGGCCACATGGACCAGGGAAACTAGTTGAATAGAGAGAATTCTTTATATATTCTGGATGCAAGTCCTTTGTCAGATATGTAATTGTCAAATATTTTCTTCAAGTTTATGGATTATGGATTGTCACACTTTCATGATGGTGTACATTGAAGCAAAAGAGTTTTTCATTTTTAGGAAATCCAATTTATTTTTTGTTCTTGTTGCTAGTAATTTAGGTGTCATACCTAAGAATCCATTGTCAAGTTCAAAGCCATGAATATTTAATTAATGAAGTTTTCTTCTGAGAGTTCTATAGTTTTATCTATTACATTTAGGTCTTTGATCTATTTGGAGCTAATTTTTGTATATGGTATGAGGCAGGGATCCACATTCATTCTTTCGCACATGGTTATCCATTTGTCCCTTCACCATTTGTTAAAAAGACTCCTTTCTCTTGTCAAATTGTATTAGCACCACTATAAAAAAAGCAGTTGTCCATAAATGTAAGGGTTTATTTCTGAACTCTCAATTTTATTTGATCCATATGTCTGTCCTTATGCCAGTACTATACTGTCTTGATGACTATAGCTTTTTATGTAAGAAGTCCTTCAATTTTGTTATTCTTTTCAAGCTTGTCGTAGCTATTCTGGGTCCCTTGCATTTCCATATGAATTTTAGAATTAGCTTGTCAAGTTCCACAAAAAAAGAAAACAGCAGCTGGGATTTTGATAGGAATTGCATTGAGTCTGTAGATCAACTGAGGGAGTATTTCCATGTTAACAATATGAAGTCTTCTGATTCATAATCATGTGATGTCTTTTTATTGTTTAGATCTTCTTTAGTTCTTTGAATATTTTGTTATTTTCAGTATACAAGTCTTGCATTTATTTTGTTAAATATATTCCTATGTATTTTGCTCTTTTGCTGCCATGGTAAATGGAAATGTTTCCTTAGCTTTGTTTTCAGATTGTTCATTGCTAAATGAATAAAAATACAATTGATTTCTGTATATTGATCCTGTATCCTGCAACTTTGCTGAACTCTTATCAGTTCTAATAGTACTTTTCCTTTGTGTGTGTATATTCCTTAGGATCTTCTACATATAAGACAATGTTATATGCCAGTTGAGATAGTGTTATGTGTTCCTTTCAAACTGGGATACGATGATTTCTTCTTCATGTCTAACTATCCTTGCTAGATCATCAAGTACAATGTTGAATAGAGCTGGTGAGAGTAGAGTTTCTTGATTTGTTCCTGTTCTTAGAGGGAAAGCATTCAGTCTGTCACTGCTAAGTATGATATTAACTGTGGGTTTTTCATAGATGGCCTTTATTGGGTTGAGGAAGTTCCCTTTCAGTCCTATTTTGTTTAGTATTTTTATCATAAAATGGTGTTGGATTTTGTTAAATGGTTTGTCTGTGTCTATTAAGATGAACATGTGACTTTTGTCTGTTAATATGGCACATTACTTTAATCGGTTTTTACATGTTAAAACAAACTTGCAACCCTGGTATAATCCTGGGATTATTAATATAGATAATAATCTATATTAATAAGTGATATTGGTCTGTAGTTTTCTTATAATGTTTTTGGTTTTGTATAAAAATAATATTGGCTTCATAAAATAAGCTAGGATGTGTTTCTTCCTCTTCTCTTTTTTGGAAGTTTGTGAGGGATTTGTGTTGGCAATTTTTAAACATTTGACAGAATACCCTAGTGAAGCCATCTGGCTTTTCTTTGTGGAAATTATTTTTATTACTTATTTGCTTGTTATAGGTATATTTACACTTTCCATTTCTTCTTGAGTAAATTTTGGTAGTTTGTACCTTTCTATCAATTTGTCCATTTCATCTTTATAGACTTATTTGCTTGTTATAGGTATATTTACACTTTCCATTTCTTCTTGAGTAAATTTTGGTAGTTTGTACCTTTCTATCAATTTGTCCATTTCATCTAGGTTATCTAATTTGTTGGCATATAATTGTTCATAGTATTCTCATATAATCTTTTTTATTTTCATAAAGTATGTAGGGGTGACCCCCCTTTCATTCCTGACTTTAATAGTTTGAGTCTACTTTTTTTTTAAATACATCAGCTTAGGCAAATAATTGTCAATCTTGTTGATCTTTTCAGAGGACTGACTTTTGGTTTTGTTTATTTTATCTATTTTTTTCTGTTCTCTAGTTTGTTTATTTCTACTGTAGTCTTTATCATTTTCTTCCTCCTGCTTGCTTTGGGTTGAATTTTCTCTTTATCCAGTTTCTTAAGATGGATGGTAAAATTATTGATTTGAAATATTCTATTTTCCTATAGACATTTGCCCCTGTAACTATATCTCCAAGTACGATGTTAGGCGTCTCCCATAAGTTTTGGCATGCTGTGTTTTCATTCATCTCAAAATATTTTCTAATTTTTCTTGTGATTTCTTCTTTGACCCATTTGTTAGGAGTGTATTGTTTAATTTCATATTTCTAAATTTCCCAAGTTTCCTTTTGTTATTGATATTTAATTTCATGCCACTGAGATTGGAGAACATACCTTGAGTGGTTTCCATCATTTTAAGTATACTGAGGCTTAATTTATGACCTAGATGGTCTTTATGGTCTAAAAAAAATGGAATTTCTTAAAGAATGTTCCATGCACACTTGAAAGTTTGTATTTGGCTATTGTTGGGTGGAGTGTTCTAGATGTCTACTAGGTCTGATTGTTTTAAGATATTATTCATGTCTTCTGTTTCCTTGTTGTCCTCCTGCCTAGTTTTATTATTGCAAGTGACATATTGATGTCTTCCACTATTATTGTTGAGTTGTCCATTTTTCCTTTCAGTTCTTCCAGTTTCTGCATCATGGTTTTGAAGCTCTGTCAGGTGCATATGTATTTATATTGTTATGTCTTCCTGATGGATTGACTTTTTTATCATTAAAAAATGTCCTTCCTTGGCTCTAGCATGAGTTTTGTCTGAGATATATTTTGTCTAATATTGGCCTAGCACTGCCAGCCTTCTTGTCATTACTGATTACATAGTGTGTCTTTTTCTATTCTTTTATTTTAAACCTATTTTTGTCTTTTAGTCTGAAGGCTGCCTCTTGTAGATACTACATGGTTACATTATTTTTTAAAACTCATTATGCCAAATCCTACCTTGATTGCAGAGTTTTATTCATTTGCCTTCACTACCTTTTTTTCCAGATCCTTAAGGTCAGCCAGAGGTTAGAGAATAGGGACTTTTCAAGCTTCTCCTGGGTGCATGGACAGTTCTGAATATGCCTGGGGCCTTCTAGATTCTCAGGGATATTTTGAAGCATTTCAAACTCTCTATGGACCTCTTATTCCTGCTCAAACAACTGTAATGTTAAACAGTTGTTGTCCATGGATTTTGACAAGCGCCCTGCAGATAGTGCTGTTCACAGAAAATGAACTCTGAGTCAGGTCAAATCAAGACAAGCTCTGACAATATAGCTCTTCAGGGAGCTACCAGACAGGTTGAATAGAGATGATTTTCTGGAGGCAGGTCTTTAGGGGAGTCTCAGTCCATTTTGTCCCCGCTGGTGGCTGCTGGGTTGGTGGGTTTTGCAGCTATTGTAGTTGTAAGGCTACTGGTTTTCAAGGCTTTTGTAGGGCTGGGGAGAACAGGTTAAGATTAGGGCAGCTGTGAACTCCACAAAAATCACTGTGTTAGCAGAAATTCAGCAGTGAGTCTTGATTAAACACTCCTTGGATTATTAAGCAATAGTTTAGCCAATTTCCAGAGGTCTAGAAAAGTTAATTTTGGCAGTTTTTTTGCCAGTGTCCTTATTGCCTTTATAGAGGAGTAGATTTTCAGAGGTCCTTACTTCTCTATTCTGGAAATGCTTCCCTGCGTGTTTTGTTTTTCCGTTGTTTTTGTTTTAGGTGCAAAGGAGAGACATAGAAGCAAGCAGTTCCTCTGCTCATTCCTTCCTGTGCTCACCCTTCCAATATTCAATACTCCTACAAACCACTTTTCCTTCATTAGGAGCATACTTATTAAACACTGTCGAAAAACTCATGATGCTGAGAACTATGTTGGGCACTATGAGGGATACACAAAAATATGATGCCCTCTCATCTTCACAGACCGTGTAATGCTGGTGTGACACATTAACCATGAGGAACTTGTAAGGGGTGAAGGGAAGCTGAGAGGTCTTTGTCTATGTGCATAGAGGCTCTGTTGGGATGGGGCAGGAGGGGGGGCCAGGAGCAGTGGGAGAGGGGTGTTTGCAGAACTTTCTCTCTCTCTCTCTCTCTCTCTCTGGCATCTGTGGTGGGGACCTTTGACTTGTTAATTTTCAGACACGTTTTCTGTGATGCAGGGCACTCAACACAAGCCAGCTGAAGTCCCTGAATATTGAAATGCTCCCTGGCTATCGAGATCCCTATTCCTCCAGGCCTCTAACCAGGGGCGAAATTGGCTGCTTTCTCAGCCACTACTCAGTCTGGAAAGAGGTAAATAATGCTGTGTTCAGATTGCAGTTTTATGATGAGGCGAAAGGAAAGTAGGATATCGTAGGTGAATTAGGGCCAGATGTAAAATGAGCCCGTAACTGTTCTGGAAGTGTGCATGAGAGCTGTTCCTGCCTTGTGTCTCCCTCTGACCCAAGACCAGCAACAGAGGGGCAAGGAGGAGTAGCTCCGGTGCCACTGGGGATGATGACAGGAGGAGACATCATGTCCTTCATGCCACACTTTTATTAATTCATTCTCGTCATTAGCAGGAATGCCTTCTATGGTACCTATTATGTCATCACTTATTAAGTGATTTTATAAACAAATCACACAGAAGTCAAGTGAGGTGGGTTGGGAAGGACAGACCACTTTTACCCAAGAAGAAATTATTAAGTAGCTTGTCTAGGGAAGAAGTGGCAGTGCCAGAACCTGAACCCCTGTCTTACAGATCAAGACATTTCTGGAGGGGGTATTTGTGTGTAGGGTTCCTGATAAAGAGTCAATTTCCACAACAAAAGAGAAAGTTCCTGAAGAAAGTCCTCTTGAACACTGTCCCCTTTAATGATCCAGTCTATGCCTGCCTTTTTTTTTCTTTAAACTTTAAGTGAAATGTAATAAATAGGTATAAAGAAGTATATAGATCAAAAGATACAGCTCAGGGAAATTTCACAAACTGAACAACACACCCATGTTAATCAGTAGACAGATCCAGAAGCAGATAACCAGCATCCCAGAAGTGCTCCCCACCATGCTTCCTTCTAGTCACCAGTCCCCAAAGGTAGTCACCATCTTGACTTCTAAAGCTTTATCTTTGTTTGTACTTTCCTTTATATGAATGGAGTCATACAGTATGTGTACTCTTCCAACATGACATTTAGGAGAGTCACCTATAAAGTTGCATTTAATTGTGGATCATACATCCTCACTGCTGTGAATATGCCACAGTTTATCTATTCTACTGTTGACGGCCATTTGCTTAGATTCCAGTTATGAACCTATACTACTAGACTTGTGACTTTTTAATACACTTTCATCTAATAAAAATTGGGTATCAAACTTTTCATAGGTTATCTTCCTACTGATGACCTTTACAGGTAATTGACCGAGAACTAGAGAAGACTCTTGTAATTGAAGATGATGTGCGTTTTGAGCATCAGTTTAAGAAGAAGCTAATGAAGCTGATGGATGATATCGACCAGGCTCAGCTGGACTGGGAACTGATGTGAGTGACAAGATGATCTTGTGAAAGGGTTCTGAGAGGCATTCAGTACTTTCCAAGGGGCAGAGAGCCCCACCTTTGCAGCCAGTAGGAGATGCAGCTTAAGCTTCCACTTATCTGGTTTTCTTTCCATAAATGTTCTCAGAAACAAAAGTGGGTAGAGGTTAGCCACCGGATTTTGCATCCTTCTACTCTTCAGGGTGGGAAACTGTGGAAGATTCTCTGAGACCTGGAATCTGCCTGCAGATCAGGGGCCTTCAGACAGAGCCAAGGTGTGGCACTGAACACTTACTTAGGAGCACAGCAGAAATCCCACCCTCAAGCAATGTGGCCCATGGAGTGGGTGCGATGCGGAAGGAGAGGCCATTTATTCAAGTGCCAAAGTCCTGTGTCATATTTAAGCCTCAGATCCTGGGAGAGCAGATTGCCTCTGCAGCTTCCGAGAAGGTGAGAGGTTAGAGGGCCAGCCAGGGAGCTCCTCTGTTGGGAAACGAGGTTGCACAAACATGGAGAAAATGGACAACCAGATGTGAGGAAGAGTCTGAGGCTGACACAGGAAAACCAGGCTCACCAAGGGAGTGCTGGCTCTGAGCTGGCATTTAGTTAATGTTCTTTGTCTACTGCCTTGGGAATCTAGTGGTTTCTACCCTTACCTTTCCCTTCCCCTTCCCCTTCCCTTCCTTCCCTTCCCTTCCTTTTTTCTCTCTCCCTCCCTCTTTCTTTTTCTTCTTCCTTCTCTCCCTCCTCCTTTCTCTCTCTGATTTTCTTTTTAAGACAAATGACACTGGGAAGCAGAAAGTTCCCAGGCATTATGTTTGCTCCCAGCTGTGTGTCAAAGGCAATTCATCAACTCAGAGCCTGCTTCTTTCTTTGGAGCAGCTGCAGCAGAGGAGCTGTCCCTGCTCCTCCCACCCTCGGGCGGAGGGATTTAACTATGAGCCCAGGTGAAATACTTGTTTCCTCAGAAAATGGGCCACTCTGAGCTCAAAAGAAACCTAGCAATGGCTCAACTAATGTGTTACTGTGTAATAAGATACCTACACTCTGTCAGATTTCAGTCATGTGGTCATGTGGTTAGACTTGGCATTCTGCGCAGTCCCTTGAGATCACTGTTTTTTCCTATATCCTCCAGAAGTCTCTGCACTTCAGCCTTTCTGATAGATGGCTCCGCAGCCTATGGTTAAGGCCTCTCCCTCATGGAGCCTGGAGGCTACTTTCACTTAGGTCTCATAATCACAGAAGACTGAGCCCAGGGAATCCAAGGTTTAGAGCTGGCATACATGCCTGTTCACATGTAGTTTGGTGGGTGCATTTCTCAGGACAAAGTACCAACAGATCCAGGAAGGAAGGACAGTTGTCTTGATAAGGATACAGGAAAAATATGTTTTCTAAATTTCACAGGTGATTGATCAAGTCAAAATATTCCCTTAAAATCTATTATATTGTCTTAAAGAAGGGTAACAGCTTTAAATTGTACCTGTCATTTTCTAAAGCAAAAAAGAAACAAATGTTACTTAAACCTAAAACGTGAAAGGTAATAAGCTGTCTGTGATTGCCACATTAGATTCTTCCAGAAAATAGTAAAAGGGAAGAATATAACAAGTCACTGGAGTCATCTAGGGACTCTTGCTCAGTAGATATATAATGCAAGCCACAGATGTCATTTTCAATTTTCTAGTAATCACATTAAAAAGGAAAAAATAAATTAAGACATATTAGTTTACATAATACATTTTACCTAACCAAACAGAATCATCATTTTGGTATGTAATTAATATTTTAAACCATTAATGACATAGTTTACCTTCTCTCTTTTTTTTTGGTACCAAGTCTTCAAAATCTGGTATAGATTTTACACCTAGAACACATCTCAATCCCGAAGCTAAATTTTCAGCTGTTAAACTATAGTCCTACCAAAACAACTTGTTTCATGAAAAAAAATAAATATTTCACACAGCTTCAACATCTCAAATTAAATTAATTAAAGTTGAGCATTAACTCTAACTAACTTTATGGCCCCTGTCACTCTAGTACCTCCCGAGTGCTCCATAAAAGTTTCCTTTCCACTGGATGAGACACCAGAAAAGCTCAGACTCTGTAATCCGAAGAGACAGTGGTTGGGGACATGTGTTTGTTGTCCTCAGAAGAACTGACAGTTGAACATATACTTGTTCTATAAATTCTGGGATGCTTTGACAAGAGGGAATCCCTTGAATGTTGAAAGAGGTTGTTTTAGGGTAAAATAGAGGATGTACTGCTTTGCCTGGCAGGCAAGAAGCAGGCAACTCCCCAGCTTGCTCCAGTCAAGCCCAATCCAACAGGTTCCAGACAAAAGTAATGGAGCACAGGTCCACAGGTAGACTAGGGAAGAGTGGCCAAAGGGGCATTGCAGAAGTTATTCACGGAGGACAGAAGGTGGCTGGGGGCCTTTCTTGGAGCAGCATGTCTGGAAGGAAGCCTGGTCACAGCTGGGCGAGTGTGAGGCAGGAGAATGTCTCTCAGGAGCTGTCATTCATATTCCCCGCTTCGGCCGCTCTGGGGTTCTGCAGACTGACGCTTTCCCCCAGCTTTCTCAGTCCTGTTTCTCACCAGCACTTGCAGCCCTGTGCAGAAGGCACCCAACGCTGATACTCTGGGGACCTGAAGACAGCAGGGTCAGGATTCTCCCATCTGGCCTTTTTTGTGCCTTTCCAACCTCTGTAAACACAGCAGGAAACCCCATCCCGTCTTTGATAAATGATCTGAAAGATCTTTTAATCTCACTATATCTTACTTTCTGGCTTGAAAACAGTCCACTAGACAGGTATAGTGGGGGTGTTGATAAATGAAGCCAGCAAAATGGCCCCAGTGATGGCAGATGGCAGTCGTGACCGGTGATAGGATCCACTTTGGGACGTGATACATCCTTTAATGGCAGACAGTCCAGGATTTCAAAGGCATCTATGTAAACCAAAGCTGTGCTCCATCCTCATCACAGCCCGATATTCAAGGTGGAATTTTTCTGCTCTGCTATTTCCTTATAGTTATATTGGTAGGAAGAGGATGCAAGTGAAGGAACCAGAAAAAGCGGTGCCCAATGTGGAAAACCTGGTCGAAGCTGACTATTCCTACTGGACCCTGGGCTACGTCATCTCTCTGGAAGGAGCACAGAAGCTGGTTGGAGCCAATCCTTTCGGGAAGATGCTGCCAGTGGACGAGTTTCTGCCAATCATGTACAACAAGCATCCTGTGTGAGTCTCCCCGAACTGCCTGCCTTCTCTTGGGCACAGCCTCTTCATGAATTATGCTCTCCGATTCTGGTAGTACTTGATATTTTCTAAAGTGTACTGCTTTGCTACATGATCTTTGCATATTAATATTAAGAGCCTGACTCAGGGGATTATCCCTTTGTACGGATGGGAAGGTGAGGCAGAGATAGTGGGTGTCCTGCCCAGGGATTCTTGTAATACCCAGTTTGTAGTTGAACTGAATGTAATGTCCTTGGTCCCCTCCTCGTCTTTGCTCTTCTTCCATAACCTCATACACCTCAAGGTGAAGGACATCTTCCCAGGCACCTCAAAATTTCCAGTTCCTTTGGCTCAGGTCATTGTGTGTACTGTTGGCTAGGCAGAGGTACCCATTTTGGTGGAGCTCACAATCTGGTCAGGAATTGAGACTCATGAATAAATCACAATATCTTGTGATTCCTGGGATCACAAAGGTGTGTAAGAGGTTCAGGGCGTGTGGACGCGATACCTGAGCATGATGTCAGTGGAAGAAGGCACTGTGATGCTCAGGGCTCCCATAGCCCAGGAGCTTACCCTGACATAGCTCTTATTAAAAGGTGTAGCAATTAATGGTTTACCTACCTGTCAGTCTCCCCAGTAAACTACAAACCCTTTGGGGCAGGAACAATCTTACACCTCTGTGTCCTAGAGCCTAGTCCAAATGCTACACATAACAGCAGCTCCTGAATCATTAATGAATGACTCCTAAATTCATTCATGGAGCAGCGCAGGTTCTAACCTTGGCCCCTTCTCTCAGTTGCTGGGTGATCTCTTCACCAGATTGTCTTCATTTTAGCTGTTGAGATTTCCTGCGCTGCCTCCAGTTCATTTTATCTCTTGTCCTCAGTAAAAGTGGAGCTCTTTGTCCTCTTGTATCTAACATGTCAGAGACTCTGTGTCCTGGCAGAAACATGGATGTCAAACCCTTATCCCCTAACCAAAAATGAAATTACTACATTCAGATGTCTCTTCATATTCTGCACAGGAGTATGAGGAGGAGGGAGGCTCCTTTACACCTGCTGGAGCCTCAGCCATGAGCAGGGAGCTCGAGTGCAAAGCCAAGCCTGCGTGCGTCCAAGCCTCCACACGGCACAGCCCCACTGCTGCTGTCCAGATCTCGGGTGTCCTATTTATTAATTCAAGAGCAGGGCATTTTTTGTAACGTGATCATGGTCTAACAGGGCTTACTTTTTAACTTTTGGAGTCAGACCTAAAATTCATCTCTTTTTGTTTGAAATGGTCTTGGTCTGTCACCCAGGCTGGAGTGCAGTGGCATGATCTTGGCTCACAGCATCCTCCTCTGCCCGGGTTCAAGCGATTCCCCTGCCTTCGCCTCCTGAGCAGCGGGGACTACAGGCGAGGGCTGCCACACCCGGCCCATTATTTTGTATTTTAGTAGAGACGCGGTTTCACCATGTTGCCCAGGATAGTCTAGATCTCCTGATCTTGCGATCCACCCTCCTCAGCCTCACCAAAGTGCTGGGATTAGAGGCGTGAGCCACTTCGCGCAGCCTCGAAATTCATCTTTTAAGCTAGTCTATCCAGACACCTCAGAAATATCCTGACCTTTGTGCTTGGTAGCTTCTCTTTGGAAAGCTTTTAAAGAAATCTTTGTGTTTGTACGCTAAGGTTTTTCACAAGTGACACAATTTAAATAATGAGACGAACTCATGACAACGTAACAGGTAACCAGCAGAGCTCCTTCACTCTTTGTCCCTGTTCCGTGCGTCTTCTTTCCGCCCCCTCACGTGTCCGGGCACCTTCTTGTTTTCAGAGCTGAGTACAAGGAGCATTATGAATCCAGGGACCTGAAAGCCTTCTCTGCAGAACCCTTGCTCATCTACCCTACACACTACACAGGCCAGCCGGGGTACTTGAGTGACACGGAGACCTCCACCATCTGGGACAACGAGACAGTGGCCACTGACTGGGATAGGACACATGCCTGGAAGTCCCGGAAGCAAAGTCGCATCTACAGCAATGCCAAGAACACAGAGGCCCTGCCACCGCCAACCTCCCTGGACACTGTGCCTTCGAGGGACGAGCTGTGAAGCCTCCCTGGGAGTGTGACCCCCATCGGTGCACATCCTTCGGTTTTTCTAAAGGGCTACTCATCTGGGTGTTCCAGTTTTCTGTTTTGTTTTTAGTGGTCACAGTCATCTAACCAAAGTGATCTAATGTGATAGATCGAAATTAATATATTTTTGACAGTGGAGGGAAATAAGGAAATTCAACCCAAATTTCCCAAGATGGCTAACAGACAGGCTTTCTAGAAACCGTTAAACTGTAATCCAGACACGGAATTCCTCAGTTCACTACCCATATGACACTGATTCCCACACGAAGGTTGAACAACATGGCTTAGAGTCTTGTCCAAGAGAGTGATCACCAAGCTGTCCCATCAGCAAGTGGGTAGTCAAGGCAGCCAGGCCAGCTAGACCACACTTACTGGTCTAATTGGCCATTTTGTGTGACAAATGTGACCTTGAAAACTCCAAGCCAACTGGGCAACCTTTATTGGTCTAGTTTGTCCATTTTATATGACATTGAAAACTTTTATATGCAATGATTGGGAGACGAGAATCAGTCACTTAAAATCATATTAATTTGGCTTTTTATTTAAAGAATTCTATAATGAGCCTTATTGCAAAGTAGATTTTTTAAAAAATCTTAGTCCTTGTATGCAATAGGGATGGGTATATAGGTCTGGCTGAGACTTGGCCTGTGACCATCATGGCGGTTGAAGCTCTCATATAGAGGTGACCAGTTTGCCATGTGGATATAAATTAGTAGATAATTGACAGTTTGTGTAGGTATTTGAGGGAAAAAACTCAATATTTGGCTTTTTTAAAAATTATGGCCACTGAGTCAGGATGCTGTATTTATAAACATAAATGTAATATATAAAGGGTGAGGGCTGTGTGTGCATCCTGCCCCGTCCCGGGTTTGCACACTGCTGTGGAGCCTCACGCTCTCCACTCCACCCCTAGCCTGGGAACCCACAGCAGGTGTGCTTTTTTGAGTCACTGCTAAGAGACAGAGCACATTTTCAGGCCAGCAACTATCCTTGCCTGGCCTTTTCATTATATTTTGAATTATTTATTTTGCAAAATGTGGGGAAGACATTGTCTTTAGGATGAGGCGGAGAAACAGATGTTGCAGACTTCCACCGAGCCCAGGGGAGCAGTGGGGGTGGACATACTGTTCGGCAATCTGATTCTCCTGACTTTCCCAGCCAGGCTCCTGCAGGGAGGCCTGTGGATGGGGCTCTGAACTGTTTTGAAACAAATGATTCTCTATGTCAGGTGAGAAACCTGGTTGGAAACAAAGGGCTGGTCAACTGATTTAGGCCAGCAACCAGGGAAGCTGTTGGAATCAGAATCCTGGGCAGACACCCTCTCTTAAAAAATATCCCCTAAGAGTCCTTTCTGCTTTCTTCACACATTGATTTTATGTAAAATGCAGAGTTGGGCTGCATAATTTCTTCCCACTCCACAATCTGTCGCCCTAGTATAGATCATGGCGGTTTTCCTCTAGTGTACATTCTCACGCCCTCAATCTGTAAATTTTTGTCTCCAGAAAAACCCTCCCAGTCATCCCATACAAGCACCCTTCCTCCTCAGTGTCCATGCACCCTTCCTCCTCAGTGTCCATGCACCCTTCCTCCTCAGTGTCCATGCACCCTTCCTCCTCAGTGTCCATGCACCCTTCCTCCTCAGTGTCCAGGCACCCTTCCTCCTCAGTGTCCAGGCACCCTTCCTCCTCAGTGTCCATGCACCCTGCAGCCACATAGTGGGGCTGTGCACATGCCAAACCTTGAGCTTCACACTTAAGACTCATGGGGAGGGCCCTTCAGAGCAGAGCCCGTGGCAGGCAGTGCTGCATGTACAAGCTTAGTGAACAAACGTAAGATAAACTTTAAGCCAGATACCTAATTCTTCAGTTCACTGCCTATGTGATACTGATTCTCACATTAAGGTTAAACAGCATGGCTCAGTCTAAAGAAAATGATCACCAAGCTGTCCCATCCACAAACAGGTAGTTAAGGCAGCCCGGCAGCCTCACCTCCCCAGGTGAGGGGCGGATCCCCAGATTAGGACAATAGGCAGCTTGCCTTCCACCAGACGCCAGCCCTGACCTTCCTTCCCGACTCACCGTGGATACCGTTGTCCACTGACCAGCAAGCCGGGGCACTGAGGAAAGGGGTCTCGCCCAACTCCAAATGGCACCGCTGAGACTTAGCTGCCAAGAGCATCTGGGGAGTAAGTGGAAAATCCTTAGGTGATTCCTAAGATTTCCTTGGGTATCTGGTTTTTGTTTGCATATGTGAGTGTGTGCATGTGTGCATGGCCTTAATGATTTTTTTAACAAGGTGGGAGGTTGCTGAGGTGCTGGGGGTGAAGGAAGTTTGGGTTGATTTTTGTGTTATTTTGTTTAATAGAGAATTTTTTCTCCTGTTTCTCTGTCAGCTGGTCTGACAGATTTAAGAACTCTCATTCTTAAGAGACATTGGACTTAAATTCTAGCATTTTAGACTAGGACTGTTGTACTGTGAAGAAAGTTCTGGCTCTGTTCGCCCGGTTTGTTTCTCCCTACTCAGGCTTCAAATCCCAAGCAGTGTTCTTTTCTGGTGAACGTTGTGAGCTGCAGATGTGACTTTGTTTTTAAGTCATCTCTTCGGCAATCCAGAGGTTCCTTGACCTCATTAATTGTCCCATCTCTCCCTTTTAGTCCTAAGCCAAGACATTTGACCTTTTCAGTGTCACATGAGGTCATGAGTGTAGAGGCCTTTGCATCTGGCCCTGTCACCCGCTCTCTGCCTCTGGAGGCTAAACCCTGTCTGAATTCCTCTTGGGATCTAACGTGGGATATTCTGGGCAGACAACCGTGATGTCAGCAGTGCTGGTGCTGCTGTGTGTGGACTGAACACCTGCACTTTGCAGGGGACACACTGCGTGGGCCCCACTTGGGGTTCACTCAGGCCTGCTGCAGGAGCTCTGGAGAACGAGAAAGAGCTGACACCCAGCACCCTGCATCATCTGTCTTGCTGTGCTGTTTCAGGGTGAGGAAGTGATCAACTATTTGCCTTCTGGAGCTCTTTGTGAAAAATTAAAAAAACTTAGCTCAACGATATGATTGTCCATTGCTTCCACAGTCACTGATCAATGGCCAGCACCACAGAGAGCCCCAGGTCTGCCCTTGACCAAGGATGCTGGGGTTGGGCAGAACCATCCCTGCTATGTGATCCCCGTGGCAAATGAGGGGAGGGTGGTTGCTGTACACTGAAAAGGATTCCAGGGTATAGGAAGATGGAGGAGGGCCCCCGGTGGGAAGGAGTGGAGGTGTCCAGCTTGCATTTTGTGCCACAGGTCAGCCTATCCATTCATCAAAAGATACTGCCATACTGTGATACTGGTCCAAGGTTGAAGGGCTTTTTCCTGGGGAAAATAGCAGCAACTAAAAGAGAATCCTCGTTGGTCTCAGTGACTACTAGAATTTTTAGATCAAGCTTCTTCCTAATCTCAAAAATCATGCTGTGAACACTGCCTTGCTGCAGACCATGTGCTGGGCACTGAGACGCTCAGAGGAGTAGGTGAGGTCTCTGCTGTGTGGGGCCCGCAGTCCAAAGGGGAGCAACATAAGCAGGTAGCTACCAGACAGGATGGCTTTATTCCAGAGATGAACAAAACGGGCGGAGGAGGACTGTCGGGGCAGCTTTGCTGGAAAGGTGACATTTGGGTTGGTGTCTGGAGGGTGAATGGGAGTTCAGAAGAGGTAAGTGGGTTGGGCACGGTGGGTGGAGAAGCTGGCTAGCTAGGCGTTGCCAGGCGGGACTATGAAAGGACCTAAGTGGGATTCATGGGAACTTGGTAGGGCGGAAGAGTTAGGCATGTGTTGAGGTTGATAACAGCAAACTAGACGGAGATGCCATCAGGCTGGCAAGGTGAGCTGGCCGCCTCCCTCTGTGGGCCGCCTCATCATGAACACAGAGCCCAGCATTTCTGGGAGAGTTATAGGTTTGGTTACCTTCTTGACAGATGATACAGAGGCTTCCAGTAAAATGTTGATGTCCAAAACAAGAAATGTTCCCACTCAGCTACAAACGTGGGAATCTTAGGGTTTTTCCCACAGCTAGAGGAAATCCCTCCCACTGGTAACTATAAAATGAAGAAATGTCTTCCCAGGAGGCTTCCTATAATATGCTCTTGAGACGTTCTTGCCAACTAAACGTCAGAGGAAAGAAAGGATCCAGAAGTGAGCTCCCTGACAGAAGTTCATTTGCTAAGGAGTTAAATAATCACAAAGTCAAGTCCCTGTGTCTTTCCTACAGGAAGGGGTTCTCAGCTCTGGTTCCAGAGGCCCTGTCCTGAATGCCATGCAAGCTTCAGTCCCGCCCGCTTCTCCTTCGTGAACTCCTGTCAGTTGGTGCCTTTCCTAGGAGTTTCTCTTGCCGCAGCCACCCCTGGAGAACACCTGAATCTACAGATCAGAAATGGATTCCAATCCAGCTGGGTGCTAACTCACAAAATCATCCTTATGGCCCTGTTTCCTCATCGATGGGATGGAAATGGTTCTCAGGATAATAGGTGGCAGTGCTCTGACCCACAGCAGAATGCTCCTCAGACACTTCAAAGAACCAACCAGGTGCCCAGCTGAGGGAGGTAGTTTGTGTGAATTCACGTGACGGGAAGGCTGGGATGGAGCCCACAGATCCCAGGGATTCTCTCCAGCTCCGTGAGGCTGTGGGGGTGTCTGTCAGGAGAGCTTCCTCCATTCAGTGCCCGGCCCACTGTATACATTCAGAGTGGGGCTGATGATCCGGAGCTCTGTCCCTAAAACTTGGGCAACTTAACTGCTCTGCGTCTCAGCCCCATATCTGTAATAACAGGTCACCGACTACATGACTTAGAGGAAAACATTACAAACACTGGATTACTTGAAATGTTAAATAAGAAATTGCTCCCACAAAGGTTTCTGGGTAGAGATGTTGAGAAACCATACCCAATAATGGTTACCAAATTCTGAGTCTAAAATAATTTGCCTGGCTTCTATTTGATCTGGTGGTTTCTGTGTAAATTCTTTATATTTCCGAGGTTTCTTTTTTTAACCTGACATACATCTGTAAAGTAGCTCCTAGTTTCATCAAAGTAGGAACCACATCAGAAGAACATAAATTGTTGGTGAGTGGCTGTATATTAAAAATTAAATTAGATTGGCTGGGTGTGGTGGCTCACACCTGTAATCCCAGCACTTTGGGAGGCCAAGGCAGGTGGATCACTTTGAGCTCAGGAGTTCAAGACCAGGCTGGGCATCATGGCAAGACCACATCTCTTAAAAAAAATTAGCCAGCTGTTGGTGACTTGTGTATGTAGTACCAGCTACTCATGAGGCTGAGGCTGGAGAACTGCTTGAGCCCAGGAAGTAGAGGCTGCAGTGAGCTGAGATTGTGCTACCGCAGCCTGAGTGAGACCCTGTCTCAAAAAATAAAAAAATAAGATCAAGGCTAATTCCAGACAAAATTGAATTGTTCTTTCTAGTATTTTCTCCTTTCAGCATCTCTCTTCAACTCTTCCCTTGCTCCGTGCAGCCTCATCTCAAGCCCTCACTGCCATCTCTTCCAAACACTTTCTGACGACTGTGAACGATTGACAAACCCATGCAGCACCCTAGCAAGAAGGCGTGACCCCTCGGTGGCAGAGGCAGTGGTGTGCATCAACTCCTCCAGGCTTCTCCTGCATTTCCCACCTCCCCTGCACTCTCACTGGGGCCGGGGACTGGTCAATGGGCTATGAATGGAAGCGACAGGTGTCGCCTTGGTCTAAGGCAGCTGGGAAGTGTTGCAAGTTCTCCTTGCTCTCTTTACCATCACTGTGACTAGAAGGGAAAACTGAGATGGCAGAGTTGCAAGATGGAAGCTGCCTGGATCTACTAAGGAGTTTCCTGACTGCATTACACCGTCACATCAAAGAAAAATAAAAGTCAGTCTTAAGCTGTTGAGATTTCCTGCTTTGTTACTTCAGTCCAGCCTAGCCTAGCCCAATACATCCCTGAATCTAAGGGGGAAAGCAATGCAAAATGCAATGGAAATAACTTCCAGTGGGAATGTAGGCAGCTACAGGAAAAGAGGTTCCCAATCCCACTGAAATCGGGACACATCACGCAATATTGCATGCCTCCTAATGGTCCTGTGCTGCAGGAAGAATGCACAAATGCTCCAAAGAATACAGGTTTAAGACAATATTCCTCCAGGCAAAACATCCTCAAGCCCAGTTTCTAGAAAAAGGCCAGACAAGGGAAACAGGTTTTTAGAATGATCTTGAAAAAACAAGTACCAAAAACAAAATTCCCTTTTTTTCCTGCCCCTCCCCGTGTTACCCATTTCCTATGTTAAAACATCTACTTGGCTTTCTCTAAAAATTCCACAAGGACACAGAACATTGGATAATTTGGATCCATTTAGGTATCCTTTGGAAAATAATTCTGGAAACTTTTTAATAGCATGATAAATGACAATATTATGCATCTGTTCAGTGAAGCTTGCCTCAGACCTAATAATGCCTTTGAGGAGACTACATGTATTAATTTAAAAGGATTTCAAATGTAATTATTTGGGAATGCCTTTCCTTCCTCCACAGAGGCCCCCTGGCTTCCAGGGCACCATGGGAGGTTTCAAGAATTACGCAAGTGGTATCCATCACAAAATGGGGGGAAAGCCCCTCAGAAAAGCGACAAAATGCTAACTTGGACCCTCACTCTACATTGGATTTTATTAAGTGTCCCAATGATGGGCGCGGTGACTCATGCCTGTAATCCCAGCATTTCGGGAGGCCAAGGGGGGTGGATCATGAGGTCAGGAGATTGAGACCAGCATGGCCAACAGATGGCCATCTCTACTAAAAATACAATAATTAGCTGGGCGTGGTGGCATGTACCTGTAATCCCAGCTACTTGAGAGACTGAGGCAGGAGAATTGCTTGAACCTGGGGGTCAGAGGTTACAGTGAGCCAAGATCACGCCACTGCAGTCCGGCCTGGGTGACAGAGCGAGACTCTGCCCATAAGAAAAGCAATCTAGGAAAAGCATCATTTCCGACCGCAGTTTCCTAAGGATACTGTTCTCTCCTCCAAAGGCTCTTGCCACTTGCCACTTGGGAGGTCCCTCCAAACTCTGCCATTGGCTTTCCTTGTGCTACTCCAACCCATCTGGTGTGCTTCCCAAAAGCTTGCGGACACACCTGGAATCCAGAACCCACCTGGTTAATAACCCAGATACAACCCCTTTGGGTCTGGCAGCACATGCCAGCCAAGTCCCAAACAGTTTATTAGTTTAACCAAAAGGTAAACAGATGATGGAGATGCAGAAAGACAAGCATGCGAGCAGCTAGAAGCATTACCCGGCTGTCCACCAGGAAACAAATTTAAGACATTCAAAGTGGCATTAAATAAATGAGGCTAAGTTTTATCTACTTGGAATTTCCATTGTCTTTAAAAAAGGTAAATATATATATACACACATATATATATATATATTTACATTGCAGTATATAAATCTAGACTCTACATATACAGTATAAATACACAGGGTGAGCACAGGGGCACAACATGTATGTCTTGTTAGCCACACCCTCAAACAGGCCAATGGTTTTATATTTTCTTGTCATCACACCAAGAATACTGGGCTGAGGCTACATATGATTCAGCCTGCATGAGGGCTGCCACCCTGGCCGTCTCTCCTCCAAGCACAGAAGCACAAATCGGACAAGCATCGAAAACAAAGTGCTTTCTGACTAGCTGAAACCCAGTTGCTGTCTTTACAGCATGCAGTCCCATCTCCTGGGAAGACCAAAGGAAATCGGAGGGCTTCCTGGCCCACTCTTCGGTCCATTGCCACAAACCTCTAAACTCTCCCTGGTGTTTCTTGTGGAATTCACATGGCTGTTCACCTAACACCTATCCCGCATAACTTTTAGGAGCTGTATTATGAGACTGGGGGGAAAGTAGCTCCATGTTACAATCTGCACTCCATATTCTGGGTTTGTTCTCTTTATTTTTGGAATAAAAACTGGCATTTTGAGAATTATTTCTTGAGGGACAACATTCTGAAAGTGCTTCTTACACATGTCAATAT